TAACAACAACAACAAAACAACAACAACAACAACAACAACAATTACTAGCACGTGGGGACACTCCGTTCTCACCAGTGCCAGGGTTTTCATAGGAGGCGGGCAATACCCCCACTTTGTGGGGGGGCCGGTTCAAGCTCTACCAATTTCCAAACGACTCTTCGCCACCACCCACACCCAGCTTCCCGCCCTATGACGTTCGGACACTTCACTTCGTGGCCTGCGGACGACCTTGGCTACTACACTGGCGCATGGGTACAGTGACTTGTTGTGGTAACATTTTCTGTAAGCTAGCTTAGTATACGACTTTTCCCCCTGTTCCAACACTGGACACCTGTACTGGTTTTTCGTGGTAACATGTTCCTGACGCTAGAATAGGAAACCACGGTAAACCAGTACGACGCCGGTACTCTCTGTAGGTCCTACAATGATATGGACTGCTTTGGCTGGCGAGGCGCTAGCGTCTGATACGACGTTTTTCCGTTTCTGTACCACACAAGCGATTCGGACAGCGCGCGCGGGTAGAAATTTGGAAAATCCGTGCACGTGTTTTTCGAGGACCTACGGTGCGATTCGTGCGATTTTATGATACGCGGTGCTGAAATTCTTAAGAAACCCAATGGTGTTTGAAGATTTCGGCGTGCGCGCGCGAAGAAAAAACGAATGTGTCCCATATGGTATTATTTGACAGGGATGATGGCCCTGGCATGCGCGCAACCGTTGTTGCAGAAGTTCGAAGCACGTGAAAAAGTTGCTCGCAAGAGCCCGTTTGACAGAAATGTTGAAAAAGTATTGGGTTTCCTAAGAAATCCGCAAGAGCGCGCGGGATGAATTTTTGATATTTTTTTTGAAAAAACCATTGGGTTTTTCATGTTTTTATGTTAAAATCGCTACGAAAACTAAGGTTTTGGAAGGATTTCATCTTGCGCGCGCGAGTGTGCACTTCGTGTTTTTTTTTTTTTTTTTTTTTTTTTTTTTTTTTTTTCTAAGGATTCTTGAAGTTCGGTTATGTTGGAACAATACATGTCATTTTATATTGTTTTTTGACAGGGAAAGCGGGCGTCAACAAAACAACCGGATCCGGACTCCCCCGTTTTGCCTGAGACTTCCTCACGAAAATGATGAAAATGTGGCTGCGGCCTAGGCGCGGCGGGGGGGGCGTGCACCAGGGGGCCCAACAATAATTATTCTTTAGAAGTAATAATGTTCAACAACAACAACAACAATTACTAGCACGTGGGGACACTCCGTTCTCACCAGTGCCAGGGTTTTCATAGGAGGCGGGCAATACCCCCACTTTGTGGGGGGGCCGGTTCAAGCTCTACCAAATTTCCAAACGACTCTTCGCCACCACCCACACCCAGCTTCCCGCCCTATGACGTTCGGACACTTCACTTCGTGGCATGCGGACGACCGTGGCTACTATTCAGGGCCCCGCGGCCGACGACGACGGCGTGCGCGCGCGAAGAAAAAACGAATGTGTCCCGCATGGTATTATTTGACAGGGATGATGGCCCTGGCAGGTGCGCAACCGTTGTTGCAGAAGTTCGAAAAAGTTGCTCGCAGAAGCCCGTTTGACAGAAATGATTAAAAAGTGTTGGGTTTCCTACGAATCCGCAAGAGCGCGCGGGATGAAATTTTGACATTTTTTTGAAAAACCATTGTTTTTTTCGATGTTTTTATGTTAAAATCGCTAGGAAAATTATGGTTTTGGAAGGATTCCGTCTTGCGCGCGCGAATGTCCACTTTACCTTATTTTTTGCAGGGGATTCTTGAAGTTTGGTTATGTTAGAACAAGAAATGTCCACTTTAGCTTATTTGCTGCAAGGGAAAACCGATCGTAACAACACAACCGGATCCGGACTCCCCCGTTTTGCCTGAGACTTCCTTACGAAAATGATGAAAATGAGGCTGCGGCCTAGGCGCGGCGGGGGGGTCGTGCACCAGGGGCCCCAACAATAATTATTCTTTAGAAGTAATAATGTTCAACAGCAACAACAACAACAACAACAACAACCACAACCACAACCACAACCACAACCACAACCACAACCACAACCACAGCCACAACCACAACCACAACAACAACACCAACAACAACAACAACAGCAGCAGCAGCAACAACAACAACAATAGTCCGCATCGCAGAATGCCATTTTAGCCACGCACCCCCCAAGGACAGTGAATGACCGTTCGGTTCAGCCCCCTCACTCTCACGTTGTCACTTCTCGTCCCTCGCCTCCTGCTTCCCCCCATGACCCCCTCGATGTCGTTATTATCTGTCCTGCCTCAAACCGCCTCCCCTCTTCCTGCGCCTCCTACTCCTCCTCTTATCGATGGAGGCGGCACTCATGTTCCTGGGCCCCCTGCGAGGCCCCAGAGTGACCTTGCAGAGGGCAGCGTTTCGGTACGAACTCACAATCTCCGAGCCTCCCAAGTAGGGCCCATAGACGAGGCAAGAAACACGGAAACCATGGCCAGGATCAGGATGTCGCGGTATTTGTTGATGCCGACCATGGTCATGGTCCATGTCCGCCGCCGCGGGGGTTTAGGTTTCGTGGGGGCCCCGCCACTGAGGGGAGGCGGCCTCGACCCCCCCCCACATTTTGGGGGTGCACAGGCGATTGATGTGCCGGGGACGCACCCTGACGGGTGTACGCCGCGGCCGCAATTACCCTCCCGCCCGACACCCCCCCCGGGTAACGACCGTTACCCGGGAAAAAAAACAACGGTCACACAAGAACCGTTAGATCCGACGTTGCAGTGAAATTGCAATTTCACGATGACTGGAGCCTCATGCCCCATCTTTCTGCACCACCTCTTGAGCCGGATCGATCTGTGATGGTCCCGAGCCCCGAGGCTGGGCGAAAATGCACAGTGTGAAACAAATGCGACGCCCGGATCACAGGGTCGTCCGAGATTTGGGTCCTGGGCCGAACAAAACTAGATAGGGTCGGAGGATCGCGCCGCACCGCCGATACATCGCCGATGCGGTTCGACGTGGGTCCCGATGGTCTCCACGCCGACAGCGCCGATGCATCGCCGACGTCGCCGACGCATCGCCGATGCATCTGAAATGCACTGGCGATGCGGCGCCATCCTCCGACCCCATCAGCAACATCGCGAAAAATTGCAACCGGAGCCCTTGACCCCATCTTCCTGCGCCATTTGTCGAGCCGGATCGATCTGCCAGGGTCCCGACCCCCGTAACCGGGCGACAACGCCCAGACATGCTACGTCCTGTTTTTTTCAATACGGTGTCCCTGGAAGTCCCGACCTTTTCCCCAGGGCCAGCGTTTCATCATGGGTCGCTCTTTTCCCGCCCTGATTTTGCCACGATGCGAACATGTCTGGGTCGGGGATTGCTCAAGGGACCCGTGGCCCAAGGTGCCCCCAGCTATTCGCTCAATGTTGGAGCCCCTGGGGCCCTCTGGGCCTCGTGAGGGGCGCTCTGGAGGCGGGGGGGGCACCCTGGGAAATCCCGGGGCACTTTCGGCCAGACGCCCCGAGATGCCCCGAGATGCCCCCAGACGGCCCAAGAGGTCTCCATGAGCGCTCCCAAGATGGCCGCAAGAGGCAAAAACCATTGATAGTCCATAGGCGTTCCTGTGTTCTCGAAGGTTTTGACTTTTCGAGCTTCCAGCGCTCAACAGGCCCCCAAGACCGCCCCGAAACGGCCCAAGAGGGCCCTAAGACTGCCCAAGAGAACCCCAAGACGGCCGCGGAGACGCCCAAGACGCCCCAAGAGAGCTCCGAGACGGCCCCAAGAGGGCCCCACATTTAACACACATTTGACACAAACCGCTTCATTGTCAAGGACGGCGGCGTGTCAAGTTAGTGTTACATTGTTCGGGCTCTGGGGCGTCCTTGGGAGCTTCCTTGGCGCCCCTTTGGGCCCTCCCAAGCTACCCTCAAAAGCTCTCGCGGGGGCATGTGGGAGTTTCAGGAGAGCCCCAGGAGGTCTTTGGAGGCCCTGGAGGCCCCGCAGATCTCCAGAACCCGGAGGCCCCAGAAAAGCAAAACACGCCCCAGAACGTGCAATCGTCAGTTCACGTCCAAAGACGACGACCACCTCCACCACCACCACCACCACCACGACCATTACGACGACCACCACGACGATCATCGCGACGGCGGCGGCGGCGACTGCGGCGGAGGCGCCCGCGGGGGCGACGGCGACGGCGACGGCCTGGCAGCCCAGAGCTTCTGGGGCCCTCCTCGGCCACCGTGGCAGTCACGGCACTTGCGCAGTCTGGGAAACATTCAGAAGTTTCGACGCGTCGCACGTCGATCATCGCACGGCTCCGCGACCGCCCACCGAACCCTAAGCCTTCCCAGAAACCCCAGCACCTCCACCCAAGAGCGGCCCTTGCTTGGGGAACCTCTCCCTGGGTATTTTGGGTTTTGTGGATCAGCGCAAGGTCTATCGACAGCGACTATTCAGTCGGCTAGAACCTAAGCGCCCGTGGTTTTAGTATTATGTATATATGGTGTTGTGTGTGTTGTGTGTGTGTTTTGTGTGTTGTGTGTGTTGTGTGTGTGTTGTGTGTTGTGTGTGTTGTGTGTGCTGTGTGTGCTGTGTGTGCTGTGTGCCGTGTGTGTTGTGTGTCTTGTGTGTGTGTTGTGTTGTGTGTGTTGTGTGTGTTGTGTGTATTGTGTGTGCTGTGTGTGCTGTGTGTGTGTGTGTGTGCGTGCGTGCGTGCGTGCGTGCGTGCGTGCGTGCGTGCGTGTGTGTGTGTGTTGTGTGTGTGTGTTGTGTGTTGTGTGTGGTGTGTGTGTGTGCTGTGTGTGTGTTGTGTGTGTTGTGTGTGTGCGTGTGTGTGTGCGTGTGTGCGTGTGTGCGTGTGTGCGTGTGTGCGTGTGTGCGTGTGTGCGTGTGTGCGTGTGTGTGTGTGTGTTGTCCACGACGCGAACATGCCTGGGCAATCAGGGCGGCGGCCCTGGGCAGGTCTGGGGGGATGGCGCAGGGACTTCCGAGGGACGGCGGCGACGGCTCGGCCGAGGTGGCTGGAGGGCGCGCTTGACCGCCTGGCGTCCGAGGTTGCGAGCTCCAAGAAGGGCGGCCGGGCCCTCGAGGAGCTCTCGGCGCGCCTGGGCGGCCTGGAGCGGTCCGTCGAGGCCTCAGGCTCGAGAAGCGAACGGGCCCTCGAGGATCGTCGAGTCAAAGCCTGCCTGAACACAAAGTTTCTGCCTTGTGCCCCCTGGCCCCCTGGCGGCGCCTCCGGCGCCGCTCCTGGCGCGCCCCGTTCTGCGATCCCTTGCATGGCACCAGGGAGGGAAGCCCCGCGCTGGTTCCAAGAGATCCACGAGTGATTTTTGTGATGAAGTTGTTCCACACAACAGCGCTTCGCCAGAAGGTTCTCAGAGTGGTAGGAGTGGACCACAGAAGAGTCCCACGGGGGGGACCGGGAGCCCGAGACCGCTGGGTCCCGCAGCCGTCTCGCTGGAGACTCCCTGACAATCTATTCGGGACTCGTGCTCTCGCCTCGATGTCAGTTACATTTTAGTCTGGACAGCCACGGTCCCTTGTAAAAACACGCCTTTGCACACGGCTTCTTCACCCTTGCTGCTACTAGGACGCGCCGGGGCAATTTTCGGACGGGGCCAGGACCGGATAAATCCGCTCCAGGGCGTCCCGGGACGTTCTCAGAGCCTTCGGGACGCACTGAGGAGGGCGCGCGGCGCCCGAGACCTCCAGAGCCGCCGCATCTCAGAGATTCTCAAAATAGATCCGCACCCGATGTTGGCCTCGTCCTGGCTTCATCTTGCGCTGGGGCAGTCTCATGGCGCCAACTTCGCGGAGCGGATTTCGCTCGGAGAACAATGGGATGGGCCCAGATTGTCCTGGAGAGTTCCATTTCGGATTTCGACGTGATGTTCGTGCGGATTTCTTGTTGGCCAGGAATGAAGACTACAAAAGATCCGCGGGAAGCTCATTCCGTTTTTCGCCCGCCGTTTCGGGGCTTTGCACTGACAGAAGTCCACGCGAGAATCCGCTGCAGCACGTCTGCAAGGTCGGTGCAGTGAGCAGCCTGGTCCTCCCGAGGAGCTGTCGGGGCGCCTGGGAGGCCTGGACCAGGCCGCCACGGCCCGCGGCCTGGCGGCGGACGAGGCGCGGGCCCAGCTGCTGGAGCGGGTGCGCGCGCTGGAGCGGTCGGCCGAGGCGTCGCGGCGGGTGGCCGACGGTTTGGGGGACGCCAACCGCCGTCGGCGTCGTCGTCTGGGGCGCCCCGATCCGTGGCCAGGCCGATGCTTCCAGACGTGCGGAGGAGGAGAAGGTGCCCAGACCGCTGCCTCTGCCTCGCGTTCCCCTTGTTGGCCTCCTGGGAGGCCCTCGTCGCCACCGCTGGGTTCGCCTCGAAGCTCTGGCCAGAACGCACCCCGGGAGAGGTCCGGGAAGTGGCCTACAAGCCGGTCGCTGGAAGTTGGGTATTTCTGGATTCCGAGATCCCAGTTTACTTTAGCCGCCTCAGAGACGATTGGTTTTCCCTCGCCCTTCCTCTTCAGGGGGCGGGCGGAAGCCCAATTTACTTCCAACGTGTTCCTAGTTCATGTTTCCACCCACTGGTGTCGTGATAGAGTCACGACGGAATGTGTTTCATTGTTTTCGGCCTCTTGGGTTCTCACTGGGCCGCCGGACCGTCGAAAAACGGCTCGAGGATGAACATTTGGTCCTGGGGACCCCGCATCGAGAAATCCAAGATCTCGCATGTCTGGGTCTGCACTTGCACCGTTCCTGGCCAGACCGATGCTGGTCACAGGGTCGGTGAGCACACGCCCTACTCGCAAGCCAGGAGGGCACACACCCTGAGATCCAACGCTTCGACCAAAAGGCCGCAGCGCGGCACTTCACGACCAGAGCCTCCCGTCGACCCCGTCTTTCTGCTGGGTCTTTCGAGCCGGGTCTATCTATGATGGTCCCAGGGCGCGAGACCGGGCGACAACGCCTGGTGCGAGAAGAGATGCATCGCCCGGATCTCAGGGTATATGTTGGCCTCAGGGAAGCGGGGACGGGGTAACAGCAGACGGGGTAGCAGGAAACGGCCGGTTCGAGGCAACAGGCGCTCACCCTCTTGCAGTGCAGTTTGTTTCGTCTTTCGCGTGCAATGCAGCACCTGCCACATGTTGTCTGCGTAGGGAGTTTCTGGCTGCTGCTCTGCAACTTTTTGTTTTGGGCCCTCTGTTTGCCAGTCTGTGGTGTTTGTTCGCAGTTTTTTCCGCAACGAGTGGCAGAAGTATGCAGTGCGCCTGTTTTCGCGTTGCAAAACAGTTGCCGTGCCGTTGTTTGGTCGGCCGTTGCTGTCTCTCCGTCTGGATCCCATGGTGGGTCTGTTACCCCGTTTGGGTGCTACCCAGTTTAGTCTGCCCTGATGGTCCTAGACCTGTGACCCAAACCCCCGACGTCGTGATTTCTATATGATGTGGACCCCCAAAGGTCTGGACCCCATTCCTGGGCACCAGATTTCCATCCCACGTCCTTCTCTGACGGCCTCAGGGCCTGGCGAGGGCCCCCGGAGGCCGAAGACAGCACACAGTTTCTCGTCGTGTTTTTGTTGACGACGTTGCATGTTTGGGCACTGGCGCCGGGCCCATCGTGGGCCTGGCCAGGGTCAGCGCAAGTGCATTATAGCCGGCACGCCCTCGCAGACGCTGCCAAGCACGACGAGTTGGCGGCGCGCGTGGGCGGGATGCAGCAGTCGCTCGAGGCGCTGCAGGACGGCTGGCAGGGGGCGCTGGACGCCGCCGGCGCGGCCGTCGCCCGGGCCGAGGCCCGAAGAAGGGAAATCGGCACAACCACAGCCTTTTCTGAGGTCCGCGCGGATTTGTTCGATCTGCGCGTTCGCCCGCATCTTTCCTGAAAAAGTTCCGAACAAGCAATGAACACAAACCTTCCGAGGTCCGCGCGGGTGCCTTGGATTGGCGCTGAGCCTCCTGGCGGCGCCTCCGGCGACGCCCCTGGTGCGTTCGGCACGCCAGGTTGAGGGTGGGGGGCCAGCGCAGATCCAAGAAACCCGCGAGGACCTCCAACAGCTGCTGGTTCTGGTGTGTATTCTCCCCGTCTTCCCGCTTTCCTCCCTCCTGCTCCGTGGCTTGTGCTTCGAATGGTGTCGTCCCCTTGCCTTCAGTGGCAGCTTTCATAATCAGCGTATTGGTTCACAGCAGGGCTCGAGCTAAACAGTGTGTGTGTGTATGTGTGCGTTTGGCGATGTCGTGGACCGTCTTCGTCTTGATTTCGTTTCGCAGCAAAGGCGGAACGAAGACAGGACGAAGGCTCGAGCTAAGCTGAACAGTGTGTGTGTGTTTGGGCGATTTCGTGGGCCAGTTTCGCTTTGATCTGCTTTCGCAGAGGAGGCAGGACGAAGACATAACGAAGGACAACGACAGTAACACGAGAACGAAAAACATTGAAACAAACATCAAAATGTGAACATGAAAAAATAAGGAATTGTAGGGAACAGTGGGAATTAACTTTAGCCAGGCGAAGGACCCAACCATATACAGTTGTGAGTACCGCGGTTGTGAATATCTTCTTCGGTGGCGCTTCCTATTGGGCCACGAGCCGTATGAGGGGTGCACCTAATTGCGTGGCGGGGTGCACAACGCGAACGATGACGATAGGTCTGATTACGAGAGACTGAGCGCGGGTGAGTTTGAGCGCGAGTGAGTTTGAGTGTCAGTGAATGAGTCTGCGTGCGAGTGGGTATCTTTGCATGAATGCGACCATGGCCACGCCTGGTGTATACACATATGTGTGTATGTATATGTATCTCTCTCTATATATATATTCATACATATATATATATATATATGTATATATATGTGTGGCCGTATGCACGCATGTGTATGTTCATACGAAGAGGGGTGGGTGCGCCTATCGCCGTCCTGCTACACGTAACCACTTGAGGCTCAGAGTTTGGCGGGGATTCGGGCGGCCCCCGCGCCGTCAGCAGAGCCCCGCCTGCCCCCGCGCCCAGGGCGCATTCGGGCGCCTTGCGAGGGCAGCGCGCGCGAGGTCGGGCGGCACCAGGCGAGCCCGACTTGGATCGCGCCGCGGGAGGGGAGGCCGCCGAGGGCGCCTCCCTCCCCTCCATGCGGCGGCGGCCCGCGCGGCAAGGGGGATCGACGGAGGCGGCGCTGGTGGCGAGCCGGTGGGCCCCGCCCCCGCCGCAACGGCGGGGGCGACCCGAGGCCGAGGTCGTGCACGACGGGGGCGGTGACGAGGACCCAGCCGACGCCCCCGCCCTGGGCCCGCGGGCCCGCCCCGCGGCGGTTGCGGGCGCCGACAAGCTCCTAGTGGCGGACGTGAAGCTGGTCGCGCTGGTGGACAGCGAGCTGTACGCGCACGTCGGCTACAGCAGCGCCCAGGAGGTGCTGTGCCAGTTCGGGTGGCTGCGCGGGCGGCACTCGCGCCGTGGCGGGTTCGCTCGCGGGGGGCTGCTCTGGAGCGACGACAGCTACTGGAGCTGGTGGTCGCGGTGTGCGGGCGAACGCGGGGCGGTCTCGCTCAGGCCCCACCTGCACGTCCGCGAAGGCCCCGTGCCGCTGCGCGAGGCCGTGCTGCCGCCGAACTGCACGGGGCTGGTCTAAACCTCGGAGGTGGCGCGGCTGAGGGCCGGGGCGGCAGCGGGGTTCTGGCTGCAGCATCGGATCACCAATCCAGGCGCGGTGCGGCCGCAGCACCCCCTGGGGCCGCCGCCGGGGGCCGCTCGGCCCGCCGATGCGCCCGCTGCGGGCGCCCACCCGTTTGAGGACCCTCTCGGCGAGCTGGGCGTGGGGCTCTCCGCGTCCAAGGGAGTGGCCGCGCTGTGCTCGCGCTTGGTGGAGTCGAGGGACCGCTTCGCAGCGCTGCGGGACCGCAACGCGGTTGTCGCTCTTCCCGCCGAGGGCGCGGCGCCGGCTGCGCCCACGTCCGGGGCGAAGCCCATAGTTTAGCGGCCCCTGGCGGGAGTGCTCTCGGAGCGCGCCGCGAAGGTCGCTCGCTGGGGGCCGAGGCTGCGAGCAGCACTTCCGCCGACCGAGGGGGGCGCGCGCGGCCCGCCCGCTCGGGGGCCGACCGAGGACGTGGCGGCCACGGCGGACGCCCCCCGCGCGGCACAGGACCTTATGAGTGCCCTCGAGCGGCTGCTGGATGGGCGCCGGGGCAGCGGCGAGACGCCGGGCCTGGAGGGCGCCACGAGCACGGACGGATCTCTGATCCCGCGCGGGTTGGTGTCCGCGCAGGCTCACTGCCGCAAAGTGGCCCCCGCGCCGCCCGGGCGCCTCGCCGAGGCGAGCTCGGCCCAGATGGCGCGCCTCTTCGGCGCGCAGGAGGGGGGGGGGGCGCCGTCAACCCGCAGGGCGCGTTCGCGCTGCGGCGGCTTCCCACGGCGCACCTTCCGCAGCACCCCATGCGGGAGATCGGTGGGCCCGCGCGCCGCGAGCTGCGGACGCCCGCCGAGGCGCTCGACCTCCTGGTGCAGGGACACACGGCGGGGGTCGCGGACCTGCTCGCGCGGCGGAACAAGGCGCTCCGAGTCGTGCGCCACGACGGGAACTGGTCGGGAGTGATGCGCTTGGAAGCCCACCCCCCCGCGCGGCGAGCCCACTGCGCTGCGGGGCGAGGAGGAAGAGCTGATCGGGCGCGCCCGGGCGGGCAAGCTCAGGTTGGGCGAGCTCGCTGCCAAGTTGCGCAAGCCAGGGCGCCCCGCCGCCACGGCCTATGGCGGCGCTGGGGGGCGAGCTAGCCGAGGCGAAGGGATCGAGGCCCCCCCGCGCCGCAGCGGAGAGCAGGGGGGCGGCGCGGGCGCGCGGGCCGTCGCCCCCGCGGCGACCCCGAGGAGGGAGGGCAGGTCGGGCATGAGGAGCCAGGCGCGCCTTGCGAGCGCCGTCGCCGAGCTGAAGGAGAAGCGCCCCCCTGCCCAGGCGGCGGCCCGCTGCCCCTTGACGGCGAAGCGCACAGCTTCGCCCCGCCCGAGGCGCCGTTGTCGGGCGCGGCCCAGACCCCCCTTGCTTGTGGCGGAAGCGGCAAAGGTGCAGCAGCACCGAGCGCCGCCAGCGAAGGGCAGCATCATGGCGCAGGGGCGGGCGGCGTGCTGCCGCCGCTGGAGCTAGGCGCCGCCCTGGCCGAGGCGGCCGAGCCAGGGGCTAGCGCTGTCGGGGCTGAGGCGGCGCCGCATGGGTCGCTGCCGCTGGGCGAGATGAGGGAGAGCACGGTTACGTGGCGCAGGAGGTCGCCTGCCGAGCGCGGTCGGCCCAGGCGGCGAGTCGCCCTGGCTGGCAAGTTCGCGGCGGGCCCAGACCGGCAGGGGCTCGCGGTGTCGGCTCGCGCCCGTGGCCAGGGCGGCCGCGGCTGAGGCGTGGGCCCACATGAGCGTGGTGGGCCTCGACCACACGCGCTGCGGGGTCGCTCGAGAATCGTTCCGGCCGGGGGCGGCGCCGAGGCGGGCGCAGGAGACGGCCGCATGGCGCTTCCGCTTGCGGGCGGCGGAGTTGGCCCGGCAGCCTCTCGAGACCGTGGCCGTCGCCGATCGGGCCGACGCGGTCGCGATCTCGTCGGTGGGCTGCAAGGGGAAGCCGAGGACGCGCGCCCCCCCATGCCTCCTCGCGCGGCTCTCCCCTGGCCTGCCGCAGAGGGGGCGCACGGCGACCCTGCGCGCGATCGGCCTCGTCGACGGCGAGGTGTCGCGCGGGCTGGCCGACCCCGCGCCGGCGCTCATGGCCGAGGCAGGCCTGCCCGACCCCCACCCGAAGACGCGGGCCAGCGACGGCTCGCTCGCAGCTCGCGCGGGAAGCCCTGGCGCTGCACCTCGTGGACCCCGGGATCGCCACCGTGCCCCGCGCCGAGGAGAGGGCCCACGTCCGCGGCGAAGCTCTGCTGAACGGGTTCGCTGGCGAGAGGAGGGGCACGCCTAGGCCCAGGGCCAGCCGCGTCGCGTGGCCCACCATGGACACGGCGCCTGGCAGCGCGCCCATCGAGCCCCTCGCGGGGGGGGGGGGAGGGGGCGGGCGAGCCTGGATCCACGAGCTGGGCGTCGCTGTGCATCCCCGAGGGGGAGCCGCTCCTATGGCCAGGCGGCGGCAAGAAGGAGGCCTTCTCCATGTGGAGCGTTCCCCGTGGATGGCACTACTACGTGGCGGCGAGGCGCCCACTGGCGGGCTCGCTCTTCGAGCAGCGGGGGCCCGCGGTGCACCGCGCGGCGGCGGCGGCCGCGATGGGCAGGTCTCTGGCGGACACAGCGCGCCAGCCCACCCACAGGCGGCCGCGCCGCCTGCCGCCGCCGCTGGGCGCAAGGCTGCCCCCGCAGGCGGCGCAGCGCACGGACGCGCCGCGGCCCGCCGCCGCCGCTGCAGAGGAAGGAAGCTCGGCGCGGCGGCAGGTCCGCATCGACGACTTCAGCGCGCCCGAGATCGTGGAGTTCGTGCGCGCCAGGCGCCCGGTGGGCTCGCTGGCGGAGATGCTGGCTAGAGCGCGAGCCAGCTATGACAGTGCTGGCGTCGCCTGCTCGGCGGAGAAATCTACTGCAGGCAGCTAATGGCCGAGCGCCTGGGGGCCGACGTCGACGGCGAGTCGAGCCGCCTGGGCGCGCCCCTGGCCACGTCGCGCGTGGCGATCGTGCGGTGCCTCTTCTACTTCAGGCTCGAGGCCGTGCCGTGGCGGCTCGCAGTGGCGGTGCTCGAGCGCTCCGCTAGGTCCCTCGAGTCCCAGGGGCCCCTCTTCAGCATGCTCAGCGAGGTCGGAGGTTGAGTTCGCAGCTCGGCAACGGGAGGTTCTCGGCGGCGATGCCCGAGGAGCTGCTGGCCGCCATGCTGGCGACGCCGGCGGCCGCGACCTCGCTGCGAGGCGAGATCAAGGACAAGGCCATGGTCTCGGACGCGCCCGAATGCGGCGGCGACGGGCGCGCGTCGGTGGACCTCCGAGCCCGGGCGGAGGCCAGCCTCAGCAGCGCCCCGACGCTGGGCGAGCAGATGCACCTGGGGGCTCGCCTGCTGCAGCTGCTCGCAGAGCGAGCGCTCAGGGCCCAGGGCGGCCACCGACCCCTTCTCCCCGCGGGCCGCGATTTTGAGGGCGCCCGCGGCGCTCCTCGTCAGCCTGTTCGACGCGATCGGGGGTCAGCCGGTGGCCTTTTCGCGCTCGCCCGCGCGGGTCAGGGGCCGCATCGCGGCGGAGGCGGACTCCAGGCCGCGCAGGGTGATGCGCCTGCGCTGGCCAGACGTGACCGGCTGGGGCGACGCGACGCTCGTAACGGCCGCTGTCGGGAACGAGCTGGGGCACGCCTACTGCGACGAGGTCGACCTTTGCGCGGCGATGGCGGGCTGCCCCCGCCAGGACCTCGGCGGGCTGAACGCGTCGGCCGCGGACTTGCACTGCGCGAAGTCCGACTCGTTCTACGAGGTGGCCCGCTTGCTGGAGCTCCTCAGGGCGGAGTTCGGTCACGAGCTGAAGTGGTTCGTCGAGAACGTCGATAGCATCGCGGAGGGCAACGGGGCTGAGATCAGCAGAGCCTTCGCGTCGAGCCCTTCCCCGCGTGTTTGTCCGTCCTCGCGCCCTGCCGACGTCCCCAGCCGTGCTGGATGAGCTGGGGGCCGCGCGCCGCCGCTCCGCTCACCGTGGTCGCGATGGGCAACATCAGTGCCCACGTCGTCGCATGGCTGGCGCAGGTGGTGCTGCCGGGGGCGACGGCGCTGTACAGGCCGCTGGGGATGCAGGGGCTAGCGCACTGGATCTGGTGCCAACCGTCGCAGGACGCCATCGGACGGTACGAGAGCGAGCCTGGCGACCCAGATGCCTTGGCCCTTCGGCGGCTGGCGCTGCGCTGCCTGGCCCGAGCGGAGAAGGGCAGGACCGACGCGCGCTTGGACTGCGGCCTTCTACCGGCCGCGCCGGCGGCCGCGGTCCAGCCTCGACCCGTTTGCGTGGCGGTGGCGCGTGGTGCTCAGCATGGCGTCGCCTGCTGCCCAGTGCGTCCACCCGCGCGCCCCTGAGCTGCAGGCGGCAGTGGCGGCGCGGCAGGGGCGCCCCCGCAGGGCGGGCCAGCGTGACAGCAGGCGGCCCCCCCACCTCGTCGACAGCCAGGTGGTCGCGGCGGTCGCGGCGAAGGGCAGGAGCAGCAGCCGCCGTCTCCAGCCCGCGCTGGCCAGGTGGGCTGCGGTCGTGACGGCCGCCGACGCGCGCAAGGCCGTCCGCTGCGTCGTCGCGTCAAAGGACAGCCCCACCGACGAACCGACGGGGAGGTTGTGGCGTGGCTCGAGGCTCGGGACCGTCGCGGCCAGGCCGCCCATGCCGCTGCCCCCGCGCCGTGGGGGGCCCCCCGCAGCGCGTGCTCGGCTGAGGCCAGTCGCCCTGCGGGCCCGGTCGCTGCCCCTGTTCCGCAAGGGCGCCGCGACAAGGCTTCAGCACTCCGCTGCAGTCGGCCGCCCGCTGGTGCACCACGACGCTTCAGGTCGCGGCGTCGAGGCGGGGGGCCAGCAGGGCGAGGGCGCCGACGCGCTTGTCTCAGAGTACATGAACCTCTGGGCCTCGAACGCAGGCATCGCAGCAGCGCGCGGCGCGGTGACGGGCGCGTGCTCCCTCAGCCCACGCCTCAGGCGCCTGTTGGATCCAAGGCTGGGCGGTGCTGAAGACTTCGCGAAGGAGGAGCCCGCGGCGCGCGCGCCCCCGTTCACGCCTGATGTCGTCGAGCCGTGGCTAGCCTGGCGCTGGAGGCGGGCAGCGTCGATGTCAAGTGCCTCCTGTCGGTTGTTTTCGAGGGCCTGCTGCGCGGAAGTGGGGCCTTCGCGATGAGCGAGGGCGACGTGGATTGCTAAGCCAGCGCGCCGTCCTCCGCGCAGCCTCGTCCGAGGGGGCGGCAGGGCGCGACGCGGCAGCAGCGGTCGTCGTCAAGGCGTCAATCACCCGCTTGTTGCTGCGGCCCGGCAGGCGCGGCCTGAACGAGGGTGACAGGCTTGGCAGACGGCCGCCGCTCTTGATCTAGCGGCCCTCGCAGCGCTGGTGGAGCGGCTCGGGTTCCAGCGCCTGTTCAGCCGGCGCAGCTGCCGACGCGCGGGCCACGAGTATCGAGCTCGCCTTGGCCCGCAGGCGCCGGGCCGGCAGCCTCGCAGCCCGCGCGTGCGTCGAGGGCGCGCTGGCCGACTGCGAGCGGGCCCAGCGCGGTGGCGCGCAAAAACTCTCGTCCAGCAGGGGCTCCCGCCCCTGCGGTTTTTCTTCAAACTGCCCTGGTGCAGTATCGCCTCCTTTCCGGCGTTAAAGCTCTCGCATTGTTTTCCAGTGCCTCCTTCTCACCCGCCCCGCCTCCCGGGGTCCTCTGCCTGATGCGCCCCATGGGCAAGCCAGCGTTGACCTGTGGGGTGCCACAGCGTCCGCGTGGGGGCCCCGGGCCGCCGCGCGACGATTCGGCGGCCCCTCGCTCTCGGATTGGCGCGGCTGCTTGGGGGTCGGCCCAGGGGCGCTGCGGTCGCAGGTGTTGGCGGAGTCCTGAACGGGGCGCAGGTTGTAGCCAAAGTTGCGGCGGCCTCCCCCCTTTCTTTCCCCCGCGCGTCTGGCCTCAGAGGTCCGCTTCCTGTCTCGCCCATGGGCAAACCAACGTTGGCTCGTGGTGCGCCGCGTCGTTCCTGGGGGCCCTGGCCCGTCGCAGGCCGTTCGGGCGGCCCCCCCGCTCTTGGCGAGGCGTAGCTGTGGCGGGGTCGCGCCAGGGACGTCGTGGTCACAGGTGTTGGTGGTGCCCTGAAAGGGCCCAGGTTGCAGCAAGGGGTCGGGGCCGTCTTCTCACCCGCCCCGCCTCTTAGAGCCCCCCCCCATCGCAGGCGAGAGGCGGCGGTCCTCTCCCGACCCACCGTCGCAACCCTCGCCCCGATCGCCCTGAGAAAGGGACCGGTGACAGGGCGAGGCGGAATGGTTGGCGGGGAGGCCACGACTACGATAGATCTGGCCTGACGGCCAGTAGGGTGGGGCGTGGAGCTACGGGGGGGGGTGCTCAAGAGCGGCCCGTTGGGCCAACGCGCGGGGAATTGGATTGCGCTCGGCGCCCCCCCCAGCGTTCCGGGCGAGGGCGGCTGGAGCCCGCCGACGCGGTCGGCTGAGGGCCCCCCGATTCGGGCCGAGTGCTCTCGGACGAGGCGCGGCGCCGCTGGGGCCGCGGCCCCTGTCCTCGGAAACGCGGCTGGGGGTTTAGAGGGGCGTCTGAGCGCACTGACCAATGGCGAGGGAGCGCCTGCCCAAACAGCGCATGGCCGTATACACGCAGGCGCGTGTTCATACGAGGGGGGTGGGCGCGCGCATCGCCGTCCTGCTACGCGTAGCCTCTTGAGGCCCCCTCCCACTAGCCACCCTGTGTAGCTTGCTCTTGCGTTACCCCACTCTGGCGCCTGAGCCCAGGGGGTGCACTCGACGTCCCCCCCAGCGTTTCGGGAGAGGGCGGCTTGCGGTCAGGGGCCGCCCTTAGGGGCCCGCCGACGTGGCCGGCTGGGGGTCTCCCGATTCGGGCCGAATGCGTTCGGACGAGGCACGGCGTCCTTGGGGCCGCGGCGCCTGTCCTTGGAAACGTTGCTTGGGGTTTAGACGGGCGTCTGGGCGTAGTGACCAGTGGCGAGGGAGTACATGCCCCAAAAACGTATATTGAGTATTCGCGACAGTGAGCGCAGCCGCTTCAGGAAGCTCCCCCTGGAACCCCGACAGCAGCGCCCGCACGCCGCGACGCCCATGTCGGCACATTGTGCTCGCTTTTTTGTCCCGTTATCTTTTTTTTTGCCCGTGCACGCCCATGTCCAAGGCTGCGGGCGCGGCGCCGCACGGAGTCCCCGCGACGCGCGCTGGTCGCCCCGGAGGAGTCCTGGCGACGCGCGCGGGTCGTCCGCTGCGCGGAGCAGAGTGAGTTAGCTGGCTGGTTGGTAGCGGGCGAGGCTCTGGCCGTTGGGCAGAGCGACGACGGGGGCGAGCGAGGCTCTGGGCAGAGCGCAGCGCGGAATTCCCGCGACGCGCGCTGGTCGCCCCGAGAGGGTCCCAGCGACGCGCGCGGGTCGCCCGCGGCGTGAGGCCAAACAGTTAGACCGTCGAGAGACGGCGAGGCTCGGACGGGCCGCCCCTCAGGTCAAGCCTCGCGGATAAATTCGTTGAAGCTCAGCTCCTTGGCGAGGGCCGCCGCCTTCCTCCTGCACCGCTTCGTGCGCGTGGCAAATGGCTCCAGCTGCTTCTGCGAGCCTTCCGGCGGCCTGCGCCAGCGGGACCTTAGATGGAGCCTCCTACGGGGCCACGAAACGCGTGATGTGTGTGTGTGTGTGAATGTGTGTGTGTGTGTGTGAATGTGTGAATGTGTGAATGTGTGAATGTGTGAATGTGTGAATGTGTGAATGTGTGTGAGTGTGAATGTGAATGTGAATGTGAATGTGAATGTGAATGTGAATGTGAATGTGTGCCAAAATTGGGCGGCGGCGCCATGCGAGTTGCGCCAATGAGACCTCAGGTGGAGTTCCCTATGGGGCCGCGAGGGGTGTCGAGGAGGGGGGGGGGAGGGGGAGGGGGGAGGGGGAGGGGGGGGAGGAGGAGGAGGCGGAGGAGGAGAAGGAGGAGCAGGAGGAGGAGGAGGAGGATTAGGAGGAGAAGGGGGAGGAGGAGGAGGAGGAGGAGGAGGAGGAGGAGGAGGAGGAGGAGGAGGCGGGAGGGACGCGGGGCGGTGTCTCTTCAAAACGAGGGCCCAACAACACAGGTCGGTTGGGACAAGATCAAGACGATCTTTGCTCCATGGGAAAAATGGATGGTCATGGTGCGCGCTGGTCCCTCCGAGGCGGCTGAGGCCTCGTGCGCCGAGGCCTCGCGCGTGGCGCGCGCAGCTCTGTCCGAGGAGGCGGGGAAGTTGCGGGCCACCGTGGCGTCGCTGCGCAAGCGCCTGGACAGGCACGGAGGCCAGCGCCGCCGCAGCTCCCATTCGAAGAACAAATCCAGGTGCCTGCGGCAAATCCCGCCACCGTGCCGGGGATGTGGGTCAGACGTCTCGCGGATGTCCGTTGGAATCTCGTAGGAGGCCTCTCGGGGGCCTCCTGGGGACAGTTTTGAGGTTTATTGGGGTCACGGCCACCGTGGCGTCGCTGCGCAACCGCCTAGACCCCAGGCTTCGAGGCCAGTGCTGCCGCCGTTTCTCTCTCTCTCTCTCTTTCTCTCTTTCGCTCTCTTTCTTTCCCCTCCAAGAATAATAATAATAAGAAGAATAATAAGAAGAATGATACAAAGAAGAGGTCGTTACTTGCCAAACCACCCCAACCCAACCCGAAGGTCCCAGACCCTCCCCCATTCGGATTGGGGGGCGTACGGGTTCCATTGTGTTTCTTCCATGTTCCGGAGGGCCGCCCCACCAGAAATTGACAGTCCCAACGGTAGCTTCGGGTTGGGTTGGGGTGGTAGGTCGTCAAAAAGCAGCGTAAACATAATTTCTCGGAGTCCAGCGCGGCCGCCGCTCTGTCGAAAAACAGATAAGCGGACGAGGACCGGAATCAAATAATTGTTCCGCTGTCGAGAACGCCTGCCCCAGGGCGGCTGGACAGGTTTTACCCCTACGTGCCATCGTAGGGCTATACATTTTACAGCCGCCCCGGGGCAGGCGTCTTCGACGGTGGAAAAATATGTTATTCCGTCCCCTGCCCCCGAAACAGAAATCGGAATAAACACTATTTCTCGGAGGTCCGCGCGGATTTCTTGGATCGGCATTGGGCCTCCCTCGCGGCGCCTCCAGTGCCGCCCCTGGCGCGAGGAGCGCGCCAGGGAGGGGGAGTGTCCCGCGCGGATCTAAGAACTCCGCGCGGATTTTTCAGAAAGTTCGTTTGCATTGTTTTTGTATGTATGTTCTCTCTGTTTATTTCTCTTCCTTTAGATCCCACAGTGTTGCAGTCTTCTTCGCACACTGGGCCTTTTCGCACAGTTTCGGGCCGCGGGACCATCACAGATCGATCCGGCTCGAGAACGCCGTGGAAAGATGAGGTCTAGGGTTCCAGTCGTGCTTTGTTGGAGTTGTTGCATTGTTTTAGCAACTCGCCGCCGTCGTTGCAGCCTTTTTGTTTCTCTCTCTCTCTCTCTATCTATCTCTCTCTCTCTCTATCTCTCTCTCTCTCTATCTCTCTGTTTGGTAGATGATCTCGACGAGGCAACACCCTTCGATGTGGTTTCAGCCTGTCCGCGATGCCTGCCAAGTGTGCCCAGGCTTTTCCCTACCATCCTGTGGTGTCGGGCCCTTGTTTTGACGAGACGGTCCCCGCGTTCTCCTCTCCTCTCCTCGCTTCCTCCTCCCTTTCATCCTCCATCCTCCCGTCACCCCCCTAACTTTGTCACACCCCTCACACGCTTCGTGGCCCCATAGGGAGCTCCACCGAAGGCCCCAATGACACCGCCCGCATGCATTTCGTGGCCCCACAGGGAGGTCCACCCAAGTCCCCAGTTGCACCGCCCGCATGCGCCACAACCACCCAGTACAGCGCTTCATGGCCCCATAGGGAGCTCCGCCGAAGGCCCCAGCGGCACCCCCCGCATGCGCTACACCCACCCAGTACAGCGCTCCGTCTCCCCATAGGGAGCTCCATCATGCGCCACCCCCACCCAGTACAGCGCTTCGTGACCTCATAGGACGCTCCACCGAAGGCCCCAGTGGCACCGCCCGCATGCGTCACCCCCTAACCCAGTTCAGCGTTTCGTGGCCTCATAGGGAGCTCCACCGAGTGGCACCGCCCGCATGCGTCCCCCCCCCCCAGTCCAGCGTTTCGTGGTCCCATAGGGAGCTCCACCGAAGGCCCCAGCGGCACCGCCCGCATGCGCCACAACCACCCAGTACAGTTCTTTGTGGTCTCACAGGGCGCTTCACCGAAGGCCCCAGTGGCACCGCCCGCATGCGTCACCAGCGCTTCATGGCCTCATGGGGCGCTCCACCGAAGGCCCCAATGACACCGCCCGCATGCGTCACCCCCACCCAGTACAGCGCTCCGTGGCTGGCCCCATAGGGAGCTCCACCGAAGGCTTCAGAGGCACCGCCCGCATGCGCCACCCCCACCCAGTACAGCGCTTCGTGGTCCCATCGGGCGCTTCACCGAAGACTCCAGTGGCACAGCCCGGATGCGCCACACTCACCCATTACAGTGTTTCATGGCCCCGTAGGGCGCTCCACCGAAGGCCCAAGTGGCACCGCCCGCATGCGTCACCCCTCGCCCAGTACAGCGCTTCGTGGCCCCGTAGGGAGCCCCACCGAATGCCGCAGTGGCACCGCCCGCATGCGCCACCCCCCAACCAGTACAGCGCTTCGTGGCCCCATATGTAGCTCCACCGAGGGCCCCAGAGGAACCGCCCGCATGCGTCACCCCCCAGCCAGTACAGCGCTTCGTGGCCCCATAGGGAGCCCCACCGAAGGCCCCAGTGGCACTGCCCGCATGTGTCACCCCCTACCCAGTACGGCGTTCAGTGGCCCCATAGGGAGCTGCACCGAAGGCCCCAGTCACACCGCCCGCATGCGTCACACCCACCCAGTGCAGCGTCTCGTGGGCTCATAGGGAGCTCCATCGAAGGCCCCAGTGGCACCGCCCGCCTGCGTCACCCCCACCGTTGCCCCATAGGAAGCTCCACCGAATGCCCCTGTGGCGGTGTTCGCATGCGCTCCCCGCGCCCAGCACAGCGCTTCGTGGCTTCATGGGGAGCTGCACCGAAGGCCCCCGTGGCTGCACTCGCATGCGTCACCCCCCACCCAGTACCGCGCTTCGTGGCCCCATAGGGAGCTCCACCGAGGGCCATAGTGGCGGCCCCGCCCCACTGCGGCGCATCCCTCACACTACTCGCGGCCCCGCAGTGCGTTCCGCCTAAAGCACCAGTGGCAGCGCCCGCATGGCGGCCCCGCCCCACATCGGCACACCCTTCGCATGCTTCACGGCCCCATGAGGAAGTCTCCCGAAGGCGATACCCGCAACAACGGTACTCACAATTGCATATGGTCGGGTTTTTCGCCCGGATTATTTTTATTACGGGAGCGAACAGGGAAGGCGAGCGAGAGGGCTTGCAGGATTCCGAAGCCCATTTTCGACAACCGCGTATAACACATCCACCGAGTTTTCACGGAGACTCTCACGACTTGGTTGGTCCAAATCATCAGAGCGGATGTTCAAAAGCACTTGGCGTTGTTGCAGTAGTTTGAGCAACGAAGAATGGCCTTGCCGGTGAAATGCGGTCATGCCAGAGTTTGGTTTTCCCGTTGCTAGCGGGACCCATGGGACATCGATCATGCTTTGACGCAGCGATACAGTACGAGTTTGTTTCGAGCGGAAGGTGCTAAAACAAAGTCACAGGTGTTTGGAACAGGGGGTTATCATCGTCGAGCCTTTCAATCCGATATGGGAAATCGCTCTTCTCTTGTTCCCCGAGGGGGTGCTTCAGATCGGAGCAGGCATCGAGAAGCTGGCCAAGCGTGTACCCAACACGGACTGCCTTGTGACGAAGACGGTCTTTCAGGAATTAGCTCGCATCACGCGCAGCCAACAAGTCAACCTTGGCCACGTACAGGAACGCGTGTTGGCATCTGTGCGTGCGAGCTTGCGGGCCTTCTTTGAGATGTTGGACGCGCACCTCCACAGCCTTGTACCCTTCGGGTCGTGCGAGTTGGGTTTTGCCACCACAGAGAGCGTCATTGCGATTGTGTCGCTCGTGCGTACAAATGAGAGAAGAAACCTCGGGTCTCTGGGTATCTCCAGAGGCTCGAGCAGATCCAATACGAGGTCTTCGGCGTTCTCGGCCCTCGGCAGGACTGTCGGAGGACGGAGAGGAGACACCACCACCAACCGGCCACTTCCAGCAAGGAGGCGCGCGATGCTCCCCCGACTTGGGTACTGGAGATGCCTCGAGCGGGACTCCTCAAAACAGACAGCAACCACTGCACCAGGAGGACCATGCCCGGCTCCTCGCGATTTCGAGGCTTCGATTTGTCCACCTCCACCGCTTTGGAAACCGACCTCGCTGGATCTCGGGAGGCGGTGGACATGGATACACGTGGGCCCCCCAGAGCAGAGCCCAACAGTGTCCATATCCACTGCCCCCTGCGATCCCAGGACATCGCTTGGCCAGGAGGTGGATCTGGACTCAGAGGTCCGACGTCTTCGCTTTCCAAGACGGTGTCGTCCCCCAGGGCAAGTCTTTCATCCCGAGCCGTTCTTTGACAGTCCCGAGGCCCGCCGAGGGTCCCCAGAGACCAGGCACGGCCAAACAAAATGCGTTTTGATCTTGCCCATGCTTTGGAGGTCTGGGGCTAGATCTCCGCCTCGCAGCGGTGGTGGTACAGGGTCCCGCTTGGATACGGAACACTTGCTTTTCAAAAGGGGCTCGGTCGTTCCTTCGGTTTGCATGCGTTCCGCCACCTTTTTGGCTGCGAGCCCTTCTGGTGTTCCTTCGGAGTTCGTAGACTTACTTGGAAAAAAGGGGCTTCGTTCCTTATTTAATCGCTTCGCTCATCCCGCCGGCCCTGGAGCGCTATTTGGGGCCTCTTGGGCCGTCTTGGGGGCCTCTTGGGGGCTTCTTGGGAGCGTCTTGGGGCTCCTTGGCGGCGTCTTGGGCTCCCTTGGGGCCTCTTGGGGGCCCCTTGGGGCGGGAGGGGGGGTAGCCGATTGCAGCCACCCCCTCGGAGGCCACGATCCTTGTGAGGGGTGGCGAAAAATAGCCTCTCCCCTGGGGATCGCCCGGGACCCTGCTGGGGATCAGCCGGGGTACTTTTCGTCCGGGGGCCCCCAGGGGCCGCCCCGCGCGCGCGAACTAGAAATATTGTTAGTAGTTACCGGAGATCTTAGCACGCCTCTGGCCCGTTGGGCCGGCGAATTTATCGTTCCTATAGGTCAGGCCGAATACTGTAGTGGTGGTGGCGTCGAGCTCCGCGGGGAGGCTCGACGATGCCGAGACGCCAGAGAAATCTGCACGCCCCGGTTCCCGTGGGCGGCGGCGGCCGGCGTGCCCGCGCGGACGGCGCCCCACTGCGGGTGTTGCCAGAAGTGCCCCTGGGCCAAGGTGCCCCCAGGATTTTCGGGGCAGCCCAAACGGCCTCCAAAGCACCCGTCACGAGGCCCAGAGGGCCCCAGGGGCTCCAAAATGGAGCGAAAAGCTGTGGGCACCGTGAGCCCGGGGTGCCTCTGGCAACACCCGACCGTTGCCCAGGGGACGAGCTGCGCGCGGAGGTCGCCTCGCAGCTGGGCCAGCTGCGCGGGCAGCTGGCCAGCCAGGCCCTGCCCGCCGGCTGGGCAACCCGTGCACCACCACCAGACGAGGGCGAGTTGAGGCAACGGTAGTCGGCCTTCGGGAGGCGCCCTCTTCGCCACGGCAGGACGCGGCAGCTCGGAAAGCTGACTCGCTTGGACCCCGGGAGGGGTCCGGGGATCGATACGGAGCTGCCGCTGTCTCAACTCACGCCGGCTCCAACACCTGGGGCCTGGCCGGGGCCATCTCTGCAGGCATCGAAGAAGAAACATTTGCATAGCAGAGTCAGCTTTGGGAGGTCCGCGCGGCTGTTGTATCGGCGCTGGGCCCCCCTGGCGGCTCCTCCGCGCGACAGGAAGGGGATCAGGCGCTGGTCTAAAAGAAACCCGCGCGGACCTCCGAAAGTTTCTGTTGATACCGTATTTATCCAAGGCATGTCTGCGGTAGGTTCGCGACGCGTCGACTCGGCGGCGGCCCGGGAGCGCGGAAGGTGGAACGCCGCCGGTGGCCCGGAATCGGCCGATGTCGAAAGACCGCGTTGTTGGTAAGACGCGATCGTTCAGTCAAGATCGAGCGATCGACGAGGAGCAAGCAGCCAAGGCCCAAGTCGTCACGACCCTACCCAATGCACTGGTCGAAAAAGAGAAGTTGTTCCAGAGCGTTCCCTGCCGTTCTCGGAGCGCTCCAGGCCGCGGCGCCCGGATGAATCCTCCAGGTCCACAAGTTCGCAGAGGTGTTGGTTTGTCACATCCCGATGCTTCCTCTTGGTGCCGCCGATTCAGTCCTGGACCCTAACTAAGATGGTTTAGCTGGGACCCCTTGGCATCGTTGTGGCGAGCCTGTGCACCATGCAGGGCCCAGGATGACCTTGGCCAAGCAAGCAGAGATCTGATGCCTTGATTTTGTTTAGTACAGGGTCCCCGAAGTTCCGATTCTTTTCCGATGCCAGTGTCTCATCCTGAGCTGTTTATTTGACAGCTCAAAGGTCCGGCCTTCGGTGGCCGAACATTGCGAAACACTGTGGTCCCCAAACAGTGCTTGCGCTTAGGTGATCTTAGTGGTCTTCCTAGGCAATCGGATGTGGTTCCTGGGTCCTCGCCACGTTCGTGTCCGTGCCCGCTCGTGGGAGCTTCGTGGGCGCCACGTGCGCTGGGTGGGTTCCCTGAGGTTTCGCCACGTTCGCGCCTGACCCCACTCGTGGGCGCCGCGTGGGCGCCTCGTGGGCGCAGCATTGCCGCATAGCTTACACCGCATAGCTTGCACAGCATAGCATCCACCACATAGTTTGCGCACACCACATAGTTTCCACCGCATAGCTCACGCCACATAGCTCACATCGCCTAGCTTTCACCATTCAGCTCACGCCACATAGCTTACACCCTATAGCCCACATCACGTAGCGTACACCGCATAGCTTACGCAACATACATTACACCGCACAGTTTGCACAAGGGAGTTTATAGCACGTAGCACACAACATCAGCTCACATCACATAGGTTACAGTAGAGTTTACATACTTTAGCTTACACCATAGAACTCACACAGCATAGTTTGCAGCACACATCGCACACGGAATAGACTACACCACATAGTTTCCACCTCCTTTGTGCAAGCATTCATTGTATGTTGACCACGTTGGCTAACGTGATTGTTTTTCAATGCGCTGGTGGTCTGGAAACGTGATTGGCTTTGAGCCATTACTCGGGCGTCGGGGGGGCGTTCGGGACGGTTCCAGCCCCCCCGAGCGTTCTCGGCACGGCGCAGCCGCTGGAGAGCATCCTCTTCTCGAGCCGAGGAGAGCGTCAGACACATTTCGTCTTGAGACCCAGACCTCCGACGTCCTCTTTCTTGTTGTATATTAAGAACTTGGACACCTCGGGTATCTTCATCCCAGGTAGTCTTGTTGACGGGCCCGAGGCCCTGTAACAGCTTCCGAGGGGCCGAAAACGGTTTACAAAACAGACCTGTCGTGATTGCACCACGGCGTGAGGGGGTTCTTGGGAAAAGGGCCAGACATGCTGGTCCATACGTGGAGGTCTGGGTGCGGTGGTGTTGTGCGGTGCATACTCGGGCGACGAGTTCTGTACATATCCGTTGCTCCCTGGCCAGGCTCCTCCTAAACCCAGGAGCTGTGTACACGCCGCTGCTGGGTGCAGGATGGGCATGGCCAGGGATCGGCGGCGAACGAGGGGGGGAAGTGAGAAGGAGAGGGCCCTCTCAGAAGGCGGCAGGACTTCTCAGAAGCTTTCCAGCTTCTGAGAAGATTTGTGGCCAGTACGACGGGCCCCAGCAGCAGCACCAGAACCAGCACCACGATGCCCAGCGGAATCACCGTGACCAACACGACGCTGACCAGCAGCACCACAATGACCGGCACGTCGGTAGCCCGACGCATCACCAGGATTGTTACGACGGGCTCCAGCAGCACCACCGTGCCCTGTACGACGATACCCAGCGGCGTCACTGTGGTCACCACGACGCTGACCAGCTGCACCACAGTTACCAGCACGTCGGTAACCAGAAGCATCATTGTGACCAGTTCGACGGGCTCCAGCAGCACCACCGTGACCAGCGCGATCTTTTGGAAACAACACTACGGGCATCACCACGCGTGACCACGAGCACCCACGAGCACACGAACGGGGGAAGGGCCCCCAGCCCTCGCAACCTTGGGGAAGGGGTTGTTCGGTCAACTGGTGTGCGCGGTACCTCATCAACTCTCGCAGTACCCAAGGTCGGGGCCTGTGTACGCGGCACCTTGCCAACTCTCGCAGTACCCCGTAGCCACACGTGCCACCAGCACGACTATTGTTGCAACCAGCATACCGACGACTACCACGACCACGGCCACTACAGCGGCCACGACCGCCACCACGACGACTCCCAGCACCACCGCCTCAGCCACCACGACTGCGAGGACCAGCCCTCGAGCGCGGCCCCAGATCCCCCACGAGACCACTACACCAGCTCAGCCGAGCTTTACTTTCATTCCCACCTCCGCAGCTGCGCCGCGAGCGCCTCCGGAGCTTCCAGTACGTCGTCCAGCCCCCTCGGCAGCAGTATGCCCCAGGATGGGTGGCCGCGGGTGCCAGTGGCGGTCGCAGCCCCGATGAGCAGGATCCACCGCATGGTCTGGCAACCGATGTCGACCACTTTGGACATGGCGTACTTCTGCGTGCGTCCCCTGCCGGACCTACTCGTCGACGCCATGAGCTGGGCCCCTCCGGCGCTAGCCAGCGCATGTTTGGCCGAGTATCTCCACGCCGTCCTGGGCCAAACGATTCCCAGCGCGATCCATCCAGTCCTGGTGCTGGCGGGCTCCTTCACGCCTTCGGCGCCCGTGAAATTCCTCATGTCCGGTGCGGCCTTTCACAGAGCTCCATTTCAGCGTGCTCTTGCCAGAGCGTGCGGTGCCGCTTTGCTCGGTGATGTGCATTTCTCGCAGCCGATCTGCACGTCCATCACGGTAGTGATCACCATGGCGCTAAGTCCGGGCTGGTACGCCACATGTTTGTCGTCTCGGGCGGCTTGGGCAGGACACGCCGCCTTGCTGATCCGGGCCGTGCTGTCGCCCGCTTCTCCTGCAGGCTCCGATTCGAACGTGTGCGGCACGCGCCTCTTCGAGCGCCAGCGCTGCACATGCCGCCGTGGAGGAGACAGCCGCCAGCCAAGATCCCCCCAAACAGCAACGCTCTCGACAGCGAGGCCCGCAGCCGCTCTCCTCCACGGGAGTCGCCATTGCAACCGCCCGCAGCCTCCGCGAGCTCCCTCTCGTCAGGGTTAGCGCCAGCGCCGCGACGCAACTGTCCGCAACACGTTCGTCGAGGCCGGACCTCCCCGAGGTTCCCGGGGCTCCGATTCAGACAGAACCTCACTGAGGGCAACGGCCCTGACGTGGATTCCCTGGACTTGAGGCTGAGGTAAGTTGACATCGATCCCGAGCGGGGTAACGCGGGCGTCCGCTTGCAGGAGCGCCGCCGCGCGGCCGCTTTGGCTGCCGCTGGCCGAGGCGCGGCGGCTCGGCAGGCCCTAGCCGCCGCTGCCCCTGACCAGCCGCCCGCGGCCGCTCCGTTGGCCGCTGCGGCTGGGCCCCGGCCGACGAAATGATGTGTGCCCCGCAAGCAGCTGCTGCGGCGCCCGCCGCGGCACCTCCTGCCCCGTTGCCCGAGGCTCCACAGGCTGCGCAACCAGGGCCCTCCCCCAGCGCCCGATACTGCTCACCAGCGTAGGGTTCGTGCCCGCGTCCAGGTGCACTGTCCAGTCCCTGGGTGCCCGCGCGGCGACGCTGCGTCCTCCGCCGGCTGGGGGGGCCACCGAAGCATGCGTCCACACTTGAACATCATGCCGCTGGACGATTCCCCCGGGTTCCCGCCAGTCCCGCCCGTGCACTTGCAAGAGCGCCAGTTGGAGCAGCGCTCGGTCTGCCAGCGGTTCTTGTCGGCACGCTTCGGCGGCACTTGCCCGCGATGCTGCCTTGCCGCGCGCGCGGCTGCAGCCGGGGCAGCCGCCGCCCCCGCCGTCGGCGGCAATGCGCCTGCGGTGGGCCCGCGGGCCCCCCCCCTCTGGGAAGCTTTCTCCAAGCGTTCCACCACCAAGCGCTACGTCCCGAAGGGCGCCCAGGACCTGGGCACGGTGCTTGGCGCAGAGGGTGGCCCAGACCGTGCACAACAACACCGAGGCTGCGTGGACTGAGCTTGCGATGCTCCCGAAGTGCGTCCTGCGCCCCCACACCCGCGGCGGCCGGCGAAGCGCAGACGAAGGCGCTGTGCCGGCGCTGGCTGGACGGGGAGCGGGCCGCCCTGTGGGCCAAGGCCGTCGAGGCTCGCGCTGCCAAGCCCGCCTCGCAAGCCTCCCAACGAGCAGAGAAGTGCGTGCAGCTCGCCGCGGGCGCCCAGCACTCCAAGAGCTGCTCGTCGTTGACCAGCGAGCCGCCTGCGGAGGTCACCCCCGACGTCGTTGAGCAGATGCGCCGGAAGCACCCACGCAGCCGCCGAGCTGTGGACCCCGCCAGCCTCCCAACTGTCCACACGGCTGCTGCCTTGCAGGTGGACGCGGGCGCGGTTGGGGACTGCGGGCCTTCCTTCGGGGCTCGGCTGCCGGGCAAGCGGGCCTCCGACCCCAGCATTTAAAAGACGCGATGCTCAACGTGGCCCACACGGGCGAGGCCATCGACCAGCTCCGAAACGTCGTTAACATCTGCGCCAGGGGGCAGGCCCCGCCAGCCGTGTCTGAGTGCTTCGCGGGGGGCGCCTCCCTTGTGGCCCTTCCGAAGAAGGAGGGAGGCCTGCGCCCGGTCGCCGTCGGGGAAGTGCTCTGGCGCCTCGTCATCAAGTGCCTTTGCCACGAGGTAGCCGACGCTGCGCGCGACCGACTGGCGGCCCCCGGCGGCACCGAGGCGGCGGCGCATGTCGCGTGCCAGCGGTGGACCCGCCACCTCGGGGACCAGGGAGAGGTGTTCGTGAAGCTGGACTTGTCCAGCGCGTTCAATTCCCTGGACGGGCAGGCTCCGCTCCGGGCGGTCCACGAAGAGTTCCCCAGGCTGGCGCTCTTCCTGGGCAAGCACGCAGTCCGCTCCAAAAGCGCGGTGCAGCAGGGCGACCCCCTTGGGGCCTTGCTGTTTTTATCCGCTTTGCAGCGCGCCGCCGAGGCCGCCCTCCGCGCGCCGCGCCGCGGCTCCGACGGCGCCGTCGATCGGAGTTTTTCCATTTGGACGACGGCTGCCTCGCGGGCGACGCGCCGGCCGTCGCGCGCTTCCCCCGCTTGCTCGTTGCCAACCTCGCCGCGGTCGGCTTCCAGCTAAGAACCGGCCCGGGCAAGTGCGAGGTGTTCCCTGCTGGCGGATGCGCCTCCCCGTCGGCCCGTCGGGCTTCCGCCTCCACCGATCGCAGCCTCGAGCTGCTCGGCGCGCCAGTGGGAGACGCGGACTCTTGCGCGGAGCACGCCAGGCAGCGGGTTGCGCGCGCCGCCTTTCTGCTGGCCATGGGCGACGCTGTCTGGGCCTACCTTGAGCAACTGAGCGGCTGCTCGCCCACCGACTCCTCCTGGCGGCAGGCTCAGCTCAAGCTCGACAAGGGAGGACTTGGCCTGCGCTTTGCCACATGGCACGCAGCTGCCATCGTTCCCAGAGCGAAAGGCGCCGACCTCTGTCCGCAGCTCTACCCAGGCTGCTCCAAGAGCGCTGACCGCGAAGCCTGGCGGCTGCGGCGCAGGCCCACAACGCAGTCGCGCAGGGCGCCGACCGAGCGGTGTTCGACCACGCGCTGCACGGCAACCAGACGGCCCTCTCCGACGCGGCGGACAGCGCCGCGCTCGACGGGCCCCTGACGGGCGCCACCCTGGCCGGCAGGGTACATCTCCCCGGCGCCGGCCCCGGGCGTTGCCGCGCGGCTTCAGGCGCCGCCCCGCGAGGCCACTTGCACCGCATTCCCGCGCGGCCCCCTGCAGGAGCTGGACTCGCAACCGCTTCGAGGCGCTTGCGAGTCCAGCCCCTGCAGGAGAAGTGCGCCTGCCCAGCCTGCGGCGAGGTGACGCGTCTTCTGCGACTCCGCCCTGGCCTGCGCCCGCCGCGAAGACAGGACCAAATGCCGCGACGCCCTTCGCGACCAGGCCTTCTTCGACGCCCTGGCCGCGGGTCGCGCCGGCGGAGTTGGGGCGCCCGGGGCTGCCACCTCCGCGCCCCGTCGGGGAGGCCACCCCCGGGGGCTAGCAGGGCGGGCCCCAGGTGGGCGACTACGGCCGCCACGCTGCCGACGTCCGCCTGCCGCGGTGGCGCAACGACACGGCGGCCGCTTTGGACTTTTGCCGCCGCGTCAGGTTTGCGAGCCGATCTCCTTCCTCGCCGCGTCGGCCGCTTCGTCGAGCGCGGCGACGGGGCGGCGCGAGGAGTTCAACAGGCAGCGCCAAGACACCGCGCGGCCGTGCGATGCGCAGGGCCCCACCTTCATCCCCATGGCGGCGGAAGCCCACGGCGGCGGGCGGGGCCGCGAGGCACGGCACGCAGGGCCTTCGGGGTCCTGGCCAAGCGGGTGGCTGACGCCACGGGGGAAGACGCCGCACTGGTTGCGGACCAGCACGCCCGGCGACTTTCTCTTTCCCTGCACAGGGATAACGCGCGGGCGGCGCTGCGGCGACCCAGACGCAGTCTGGGGGGCGGGGTAGCAGCGGCCCGCCTGGCCGCGGCCGCGGCTGCCTCCACGGTGGACGCCGCGTGAGGCGCCCCCGGCGCTGCCTAGCGCCCCCCGTCCCCCCCCCCCCGCCCTTGCTTGGCAGCGCGGGCGCCCCCCGCGCCCTTTCGCCAGCGTCGCGCCGGCGACCCCTCACGCGCGCCGCCCGGCCCTTCCTCGGCGGGGCGGTGGATGGATCCCGCAGGGGCCAAGCCGCAGCGCGCAGGGCTCGGTCGGCCACGTGCCCCGCCTGTAGGTCGCCGCCGTAGGGGCCGTTGCCTCGTCGCGGATGGTTCTTTTTTCCGGGCCCCTGGCCTGGCCCGTCTGATTGCGGTTGCTCCCCTCCCCCCTTCCTTGTCCTCGTCCTCCCTTCCTTTTTGCTTGCTGCTTCCCTCCCCTTCCTTTCCTCCTGCTCCCTGCCTGCTGTCCCCGCCTGGCCCCTCTCCTACCTGCCCGCCCGCCCCGCCGGCCCTGGCCTCCCACCTGGGCGTTCGTCGTCGTTTGCCTGTTTCTCCCGTCCTCGTCCCCGCCCGCTGGGCAGCGCAGCCAGCTCGGGGCCAGCGTGGCGCATGCACAGGTAGGTGCACCCCCGCGGAACTCCGACCATTTTTGCTCGTGCAGGGTCACACTGCGCCAGGCCGCAGCGCGGAACTGCGTTCCTAGGAAGCCGGCTACTGGCAGCTTTTGCTTGCAACGCGCATCGTGCGGCTGCGACCGTTTAGCTTGCCACGTCCCAGGAGGCGCTGGGATTTCCGAGCTTTCTGAGAAGGCCCGCCCCATGTCACTTCCCCCCTTCGCTCGCCGCCGAAGGGAGCAGTGGATGTGTATAGACCTCGTCGCCCCACCTTCAGCGCGCAGGCGGCAGCGGCTGCGCGGCAGGGCGCGGAGCAGGACGCCGCCCCCCCCCCCCCTCGGGCGGCAGGGCGCGGCGTCGGCGACGGCCTAGACGTCGTCATTTCGGAGGCGCTCGGCCGTGCCTGGGCCCAGACACGCTCGGTTCGCGAACGGATCGGAACGGGAGGTGTCGACGCCGCTTTCGGCCTCTGGGGGCCCTCGCCGTGCCCCGGAACCGTCCAGAAGCCGCTCGGGGATGAAGGAAGGGCCGGCCCCGGGGAGTGGGCCCAGACCTCTTAAGGCTGAGGTTGCGAATGAAACCTAGCATCGGGGCCTGGTACTGGCAGCGTTTCAGGATCATCTCGGCCACGTTCGGCCGCGGCTTGGAAAACTGGGCGGGATAGCGATGGACCCCAGGAGCGTCTTGGGGACATACTGGAAGCGTAACTCAGGGTCTGGCGGTGGAGGATCGAGGAGGCGGAGGAGGAGGAGGAGGAGGAAGAAGAGAGGGCTGGGGCGGGAGGGAAGAATCGAAAAGGGGATACTCGAGGCGCACTGAGGGCCGACGCCGAGTGGCTGCAAGCGCAGCTGTCGGCTCCGCCGTCGGCCGGACCGCTGGTACAGCCGCCAGCGAAACTGTCGGCGCGGCAGTCGGCGGGACTGTCCGCGTCGCAGTCGTCGTAGCTGTCGGAGCATCTGTCGGCGAGGCTGTCGGCGCCGCAATCGGAAACGCTGTCAGTGCTGTCGGCGAGGCTGTCGTTGCCGTGGCTGGCGCGGCTGGCGGGTTTGCAATCGGCGCAGCTGTCGGTGGCTCAGTCGGCGCGGCTGTCGACGCTCCTGCTGGCGCAGCTGCCAGCGCCGCTGTCGGCGCCGCTGTCGGCGCAGCCGTCGACTCCGCAGCATGCGTCGCCGTCCGTGCCGTAGTCGGCGCCGCTGTCAGTGCCGTTATCGGCGAACCTTTCGGCGCTGCAGTCGGCGCGGTTGTAGGAGCAGCTATCGGTGAGGCCGTCGGTGCTGGAGTCAGCGCAGCTGACGGCGCAGCCGTCGGCGCGGCCGTCCGCGCTACAGTCGGCGCGGCTGTCGATGCCGCGGTCGTCGCTATCGGCGCGTCTGTCGGCGAGGTTGTCAATGCCGCAGTTGATGCGGTTGTCCGTGCCGCAGCGGGCGCAGCTCTGGGCGAAGCTGCCCGTATCGCAGTCGGCGCGGTTGTGGGTGCCGCAGTCGGCGCAGCCAGAGTAGCCTTGGCCAGAACCTGCGATGACGCTGGCCTTCGTGCCCCATGGTCGCGGTCCCTGTCGAGTTGGAGTTCCCAGTCGTCGTGGCCCCGCTGGTGCTGGAGGTCCCAGGCGCCGCAGCGCAGCGAGTGGCGCAGCGGTCGATGTGGCGGTCGGATCCGCCGTCGGCGACGCTTTCGGCGCAGTTGCTCATGCCGCTGTTGGTGCCGCTGTCGAGATAGCCGTCCGCGCAAACCGCTGTCGAAGCAGCTGTCGGCGCCGCCGTCGGCGCAGCCGTCGTTGAGGCGGTTGGTGCTGCAGCCCGCGCAGCTGTCGGTGCCGCAGCCCGCGCAGTCGTCGGCGTCGCAGTCGACGCAGCTGTTGACGCCAAGGTCGGCGTCGAGGTCGACGAGCTCGTTGAAGAGCCAGTCGGTGACAGCATTGGCGCCGCTGTCGACGCGGCTGTCGGAGCCACAGTCGGCGCAGCCGTCGGTGCCGCAGTCGGCGCGGTTCCCGGTGCATCTGTCGGCACCGCAGTCGGCGCGGCTGTCGGGGAAACGATCGGCGCCGTCGTTGGCGAAGCAGGCGGCGCACTGGTCGGCGCAACCGTCGTCGCCGAGACGGGCTACGCCGCTGGCGCGGCTGCTGGCGCCGCTGTCGGCGCGGCCGTCAGCGCAGGTGCTGGCGTAGCGGTCGGCGCCGCAGTCGGCGCCATCGCTGGGGCTGCTGTCGCCGCGGCTGTCAGGGCCGCTTCTGGCACGGCGGTCGGCGCCGTAGACGGCGCAGCAGTCGGTGTCGCAGACGGCGCGGCCGTGGCTGCCGGCGCTGTTGTTGGCGAGGCGGTCGGACCCCTCGTCGGCGCCGCTGTCAGAGCCACAGTCGCCGCGGAGGTCGGCGCCACGGTTGGCGCAGCAGCTGGCGCGGCCGTCGGCGAGGCTGGCGGAGCCGCGGTCGGCACGGCTGTCAGGGCCGCAACCGGCACGGTTGTGGAAGCAGCTGTCGGCGAGACTGTCGGCGCCGGCTTCGGAGCCGTCAGAGCTGGAGTCGGTGATGCCGCCGGCGCCATTGTTGGAGAGGCTGCCGGAGACGTAGCTGGTTATGCTGTCGATGCCGCCGTTGGTGAAGCTGTCGGTGAGGCTGCCGGTGTCGTGGTCGGCGCGGTTACCGGTGACGGAATCAGCGATGCCGTGGGCGCAGTTGTCGGTGGGGCTATCATCGCCGCATTATGCCTAGCTGCTGGCGCCGTACCCGGCCGCGGTCAGCGTGGCATCGAAGTCTTCGCACTCCTCGAAATGCATTTCGGCGACGTCCGCGGAGCGACTGATGTTGGAAGCGAGCCGCGGGCAGCCTCGTAAGGCGACTGAAGAACGCCCCTGGGGAACACAGCCGACCAACGCAACTTACAGATTTTCGCGTTCCTTGCGACACATCTTCGAGGCGCCAATATAGGATTTTGTGGACGAGGTTCAAGTATCATTAAGCGTAGCGTGATGTATCACTTCGCTGATGTGGCGCCACAGCCGTGCGCTGCAGCACGCGCTATTGTACAACATCGCTGTCGCATGCCGTAGATTGGACAGGGTGCAAATCTTGGGGTCGTTTTGGCGCTGTCGTGTGCTGTCTTGGCTCTTCGGCCCGCTTGGCTGTGGCCTGGGTGGACTTGGCCCCCTCTCGAAGGTCAGACGAGATGTTCGGTCGCTATTTGGGCCTTCTTGTTTATCGGCGACGCATGGCCAAACAGGATTGTATTGGGGCCCTCCTGAGCCGTTTGGGGGGGGGCCTCTTGGGGTTGTTATCGGCCGCCTTGCAACCGTTTGGGGCCCTCGCTGGGCTCCTCGGGCCTCCCTCCCACGCCCCCAGGCGCATTGGTTTGAGCCATCCTGAGTCGACGGGCTGAGGAATTCCACATAAAAACACAGAGTTGCCGCAACATTCTTATTGATCGTGGCCTTCCTGGACGCCCCCCCCGGTCTTCTCCCCAGTGTTTCGGTAGCTTCTCGGGCCTCCCTCTGGCGATTCCTGGGGTCTTTTTGGGGCCAGTCGGGGTGCCTCTTGAGGCAGTTGTGGGCCCTCTTGGCGGCTCTGGTAGTTTTCCTTGGCAATATTGGGCAGTGTGGGTATAAGGTTCCATCATCATCGTCGTCGTCACCATCATAGAGTTGGGTTTGGGCCCTCTTGGAGCCCTTTGGGGGCCCTTTTGGAGCCCTCTTGGAACCCTCTTGGGGCCCCCTTCGAGCCCTCTGGGGGCTCCCAGAAAGTTTCGAGGGACATCCGGGGGGGTGGAGGGGGAGGTGGAGGGGGGGTGGAGGGGGGGGAGGGGGAGGTGGAGGGGGTGGTGGAGGGGGGTGGTGGAGGGGTGGGTGGAAGGGAGTGGAGGGGTGGGTGGGGGGGTTGGGACGAACCCCAGGGGAGGGGCGAAAAGGGCAGGGGGAGGAGGGGGGAGGGAGCAGGGGGCCACAGGGCCAAATGGAGCAGGGGAGCGGCGGGCCACGACGAGGCAGGGCGGGAAAATCCTGCCCCCCTGGTAGTTGCGCAGGGGGTGAGAGCGTGCCCCTTTGCTTCCTTCCATTCTTCCTTCTGGCCTTGCCTCCCTCCCTCTCTCCTCCTCGCCCCCCCCCCCTTCTGTCGATGGTCCGCCCTGCCCCTCCTACTCCTGCCCCCCTCCCTCCACGACCTTTCGACGCGCCCGACCTGTGTACCTAGGCGGTGTTCCCTACGGCAGTCCTGGTGGGCCAACGTACTGCGTCCGGGCAAACAGGTACAGCCTGTACCTGTAGAGGCAATTTGGCTTCTACAGGTACTGGCTGTACCTGTAGAACCAGTTCGGGGTAAACAGGTAGAGGCTGTACCTGTAGAAGCCGTCGTCCCTTCAGGTACTCCCTCGGGGTAAACAGGTACAGGCTGCACCTGTTTACCCCGCTCGTTTGGTGTGTGTGTTTTTTTCGAAGGGAAGGGGGGTAAACAGGTGCAGGTCGTACCTGTAGAAGCAGCTTGGTTTCTACAGGTATTGGCTGTACCTGTAGAAGCAATTTGGGGTAAACAGGTTCTTGCTCTACCTGTAGATTTGGCTTGCATCCCCCCCCCGTGTAGTGGTCGACCTGTAGAGGTTAACGGGTGTACCTGGCCCCCCTGGTGGTCCATGTGGGTATGGCGAGCACGGGTTGGGGGGGTTAGTCCAGGAGCCTCTGTGGGGTACCGAGCTGACCTTTGGCGCCCCCGCGCCCTGCTGCGCACGATTTGGGGGGGGGTCCGAGCACCAAAATACGGGGATTGCTAAGTCCTCCTGCGGGCCTCTGGGGGCCGCCCGAAGTGCGCCTCGACTGGATCTCCTTTGCAGGCAATTCGATCGAAACACCGACGAGAAGGGTGGGAGGAGGAGGAGGAGGAGGAGGAGGAGGAGGAGGAGGGAGGGGGGGGGGAGGAGGAGGAGGAGGAGGAGGAGAGAGGAGGGAGGAGGAGGCGGAGGAAGAAAATGGAGGTCCCCTGGAAGTTACTAGAGGAGATTTAGTAAGAGAGGGAATGAGTTAGGAGGGAGGGGCAGGAGAAATGCGAAGAGGAGGACGGGGGAGGGGAGAGCGTAGATCTCCCGTCAGCTTCGTCTCGGGCATTTTCGGAAGCACTAGTAGAAGGAAATCTTCGAGGGGGGACAAGATGTGCTCGCGGGCGTCTCAGAATTCTGATATTTTGAGGGGGGGAAGCGCACGGAAGAGGCGCAAAGCGTATGCAATGCTACCGGTTCTCACAAGATGACAACAACGATGAATTTGGGCAACAAAATCTCTAGTGCCTGGGGCTTCCGTTGGAGAGGTGGCGGGTTCCCCCCACGATTGCGGTACGTGTTTTCGGCCATGGTTCATTGGTGAGCCCCCCCATCGATAACCTCGCCCTCCGAAGAAAGGCCGTTGTACGCAATGCTCCGAGCTCCGTCGGGGTACTCCTGTGGTCGATGGGTCAGGCGCCTGGCCGGGCGCTCGGGCCTGGGTCGCAGTCGTGGCCGATACGTGCTCGCCGCCCCTATCCCCTTCTTCCCCAGCCGCCTCGCCCCCCTTACATTCCCTTACATCCTCTCCCACTTCCTCCTCCACTTCCTTTTCTTTTTCTCCCTTCCACACATTCCGTTGCCATTTTGGCTCAGCTCTTTACGGTTTATGGCCGCTGCCCAGATTCATCGGGCTACATTGCAAAACAATATTGCACGGCCGGCGCCCGTTGGTGCCCCCACACTCGGCTAGCGAGGTCAGCCTCTCAAGCGGCTCGAAAGGCACGAAGACCTTCTCGAAGTCCCAGCTGGGCTCGAAATCCTCGCAGTCCTCGAAAACCAACTCGACGACGTCGTCGGAGCGGCTGGCGAGGCTGTCGGGAAGGCAGCCCGAACGGTCGTCGGCACCGCAGTCGGAGATGCTGTCGGTGAGGATGCCCGCGTCGCATTCGGAGCCCTGGTCGGTGATCCGATCGCTGGCGTCGGGAGTGCCACTGCCGGCGCAGCCGTCGGCGAAGTGGTCGGATCCCCCGCTGCCGTCTTGGATGCCTTCAGCTCCGTATGAGGACTTGGCTCGGCCCACCTGCTCACCCTCGTCTACGCCTCTCCTCCTCTTCCTGTTCCTCCTCCGCCGCATCGTTTCCTGGCCGCTGTCGCTGACGCGGTCGTCGGCGCACCTGCTAGGGCGATGGTCGGCGTTGCGATCAGCCTCTTGTACGCTCCTCTCCCATGTCGCCTCCTCGGACGCCTCCTCGTCCTCCTCTTCCTCGTCCTCCTCCGACGCCTCCTCAGCTGCTCGTGGTCTGACTCCTCCTCCTCGCCTCCTCAGCTCCCCCCCCTCAACTTCCACAGCGGCTCCCCCTGCTCCTCTTCCTCTGACGGCAAGTCGGTCGAGCCCTCTGTAGGCGCCCCAGTCGGCGCAGCTGTCAGGGGTGGCGGCGGAGCGGCCGTCGTTTCCGTAGTCGGAGCAGCAGTCGGCGCGGCTGCCGGCGGCGCAGTCGGCGCGGGTGCCGTTCCCGCAATCGGCGCAACCGCCAGCAAAGCTGTCGGCGAGGCCCCTGGTGCCGCAGTCGGCACGGCTGCCGGGGCCGCGGGCGGCGCGGCTGTCGGCGCTGCTGTCGGCTTGGCTGCTGGCGCCGCCGTCGGCGCGGCAGACGGCGCAGCCGTCTGCGAGGCCCTCGGCGCTGCTGTCGGCGCGGCTGCCGGCGCCGCAGGCGACGCAGCTGTCAACGCGTTTGTCGGCGCAGTGGTCGTTGCCGCTGCCGGCCCCGCGGTCGGCGGTCCCGCGGCCAGCGCCGCTGTGATCCACGTCGCGGCCGCGGGCCCCCCCCCGAGAGACGCCGGGCGCTTCGACGTCCCCGTCAAGTTAGCGGGGATGCGCGCCCTGGATCTCCGCGCGCGGCGCAAACCCGTGGATTGCAACCACGCCCAAGTCGAAACTCACGCACGGTCCCTTCCTGGAGCGCGCTGGCGTCCGCTGCCGCTGCTGTCCCACGCGCTCGTCGTATTCCCACGCGTGCTGGAGGTCCTGGTTGTCAGCAGCGCCGTCGGCGCATCCGCCGGTACCATTGTCGGTCAGGCCGTCGGCGCGGCCACGGGCGCAGCGGTCGGCGCCACAGCAGGTGAACATCTGTTCCTTCGCTGGGGCCGTCGCCAGCAGCTCGGGGCCGGGGCGAGGTCGAGAGCTCGGCCTCGGGATACTGCCACTGTCTCACGCCAGCAGCCCGATTGTAGTAGCATGTTCGACCGAAGCTCAAGCAGAACGCGCTCTCGCAGCCCACGGGTAGCTCTAGCCGCGGGGCCAGGGGGCAGCGCAAGCCGTGGGGCCTCCTGAGGTGCCTTGCCTCGGTCGCCTCCGCAAGCTCGGCCTCCGCCGTCTGCCACTCCATCTCTAGCCGCCAGGCCTCCTTCTCCGGCACGCCCACCGCCATCAGCGTATCGGGCCGGCCGGAGTGGCCGCCGAGCGCCATGAACATAGGAAGCACCGGGTCCACGCCCGCCAAGCCGGCTGGGCGGTGTAATTAGCCATCTTGCAAGCTTGGCTGCGGCCCGCGCTGCCTCCCTCGCCTCCTGCCCCTCGAAGGGGCTTCTCTGACGCCCCTGGCCTGCTCCGCGCTGGCGGGTGGCAGCGGACCTTCCTGTCTCGGCTCGGGGGGTGATCACGTAGCTGGTTGGCGCCTGGGCGTGGAGCTGCTCGGCCTCGGCTCTCCAGCGCTCCACCTCCTGGCGGAGACAATCGAGGCTGGAGTAGAGACCCTCAACCTCCAGTGCTCGCCTCTCCTCCTCATCCTGAGCAGCAGCACGCTTCAAGGTCAGCTCGTACTCTTGGAAAGTGGGAAAGCTCATCCTCCGCGGCGCGCCGCTTCTCGGCGGGGCGCTCCGCCTCCGTCCGCCTACCCAGGATGCCCAAAGTCTGCCTCGCGGAAGAAGCCCATGCTTGCCGCCGCTCCTCGGCGAGGCGGGCTTCCTCCGCAGAACGTCCCGATGAAGGCCACCATCGCCACTCTGGCAGGGCTCAGCAAGCCGCGCTCCGCGACGCAAGGGCCTGGTGCAGGCCCGCAGGTCCTCAGGCAGGCGCGCGCCCCTGCGTGCCAGCGCTCCTCCGCGCCGCGCTCCGCGGCGCCAGGGCCTGGCTGGCGTGCGCCTCCTGCGCAACAGCCCCAAGGCACCCTCTCTTCAGGTGCCTGGCCGCGCCCACCGCAGGTCCGCGCCTCGCCGCACTCCGCGGCGCCAGCGCACGGCTCGGGCCGCTCCGCCTCGCGCACTGTTCTTGCTGCCAAGGCGGCCCAGGGCAGGGCGGCGAGCTACGGCCGCGCCCGCCCACCTCTGAAAAGGCCCGGTTCGGCAGACCCGAATCTAAGCCATAACGACTACGGAGTAGGAGAGGAGAGGGCAGACGTGAGAGGGCTACGCCTGAGAGCAAAACCCTTTTGTTCTAGCGAACGACTATGTCTGGGGAGGGGCCCCGCGCCCGCAAAGGACGGCAGGCTCGCTGAGCTCGAGGCCGCGCAGGGCAGGTGCACCGAGGCCTCCGCGCCCCAGCCTTTGCCGCCCGGCGCCTCGCCGTCCGCTTCGCCTCGCCGCCGCCGCCGCCGCCTGGTCCTTCTCGGCGCCACCGCCGTCGCCGCGCACCCGCCGCCGTGCCTCCGTTCTCCTCTTCCGCCTCCCCGGGGTCCTCGTGCTCCTCTCCTCCTCCCCCTCCCCCTCCCCCCCTCCTCCTCCTTCTCCTCTTCCCCCTCCTCCCCCTCCTCCTCCCCCTTCTCCTCCTCCTCCTCCTCCTCCTGCTCCTGCTCCTCCTCCTCCTCCTCCTCCTCCTCCTCCTCCTCCTCCTCCTCCTTCTCCTCCTGGTCCTCCTTCTCCTCCTGGTCCTCCTTCTCCTCCTGGTCCTTCTCCTCCTGGTCCTCCTCCTCCTCCTCCTCCTCCTCCTCCTCATCATATTCCTCCTCCTGTTCTTGCTCCTCCCCTTCCTCCTGCTCCTCCTGCTCATCCGCCACCTTCTCCCCCAACGTGACAGGAGGAGGAGGAGGGGGGGTCGCCCCGGCTCGAAGACCCGCAGGGGCGTTGGAGGAGGAAGGGGGGGGAAACGAGGATCGAGGATCGAGGATCGAGGATCGGTCGAAGATGGAGTATCGAGGTCGTGGGCGAAAAACATCCGTATCCGCTGCCTCGCGGGCTGGGCCCCTAGGCCGCAACCCCGCGGATACGGGGTGTTGTCTCGTGGATGCCTCGCCTGGAACGTACCCGTGCGACCGCGTATCCACGGGAACGCGCCCTGGAATCCAGACCGCAAGGGTGTGGATGCGGATATGTTCGCCGCTCGTGAGGGAGGGGGGCGCGACGTGCCCCGTGTTGCCTTCTTGTGTCTTGGCGAGGGCTGATCAGTGCATGTGCGGGAGCCGGCATCTCGAGCCCTCGCGGTTGGTCGGTGTCAATACTCCAGCCTCCAAAGGCTTACCAGGTGTTGCTTCGGAGGGGTTCGGGGTCCAGCACCCAGGGGGACACCTGGCGGCTGTCGGGCGGGAAGGGGAATTTACCTTACGGCGACTCTCAAGAAGTACCCGTCGGACCTCAATGTGTTCGCTCGCGCGTGTGTACTGCGACTGTGGTCCCGCATCCAGCTGGCACCGGCAATTTGCAGCAAAGCCTGACGTACCCGGCAACGTGACGGACAACAGGATGTTCTCGCTCTTGCATTCCGTGGGCCTTCTGCCTGATGTGCTGGTTCACTTTGCTCTTCACGCTTCCAGCGTCTGCAGCCCTGGTTTCGGTCCCTGGGTGTAGCCGTGATGCCGTCCCGCGTCCAATGCTAGGTCACTTTAGTTCTGGCTGGCCGTCTCAGCGCTTTCATCCTGAAATGCTCTCAGTCGCGAGTGCCCTTGCCCTCCCTCCTGTCCTCCACGGCGTCTTCTCCTCGCCCTCCCCCCCTTGCTGCTGGACAACATTTGTTTGTCAAGCGCCCCCGACACCTCCAGCGCCCGTGCGTGCTGCCTCTGCTGTACCGCGACGGAAGCATGTGATCTGGAGGATTTGCCTCCGGACGCTCCCGTGGAGCTCCCGGGGGGGGGGTCCCAGAGGTTGCGCCTGGATTTTGTGTGCCGCTGGATTCCTTCGACGATCTTCCGCAGCAGCACGGCTGCGCCGTCGGAGGCGCGGCCGCCCCTGCGTGTTGATCTCTTGCTCCTTGCAGTCCACCTGCGTGGAGGCCTCAGCAGCATCCGTACGGCGGTGGGCAGCAGCAGAGGGGGCGCGAGGATCGAGGACCGATCAACGAGCGACGATCGAGGAGCGAGGATCGATGGTCGATCGTGGAGGGATGATCGAGGATCGATCGACGAGCGAGGATCGAGGAGCGAGGATCGATGGTCGATCGAGGAGGGATGTCGATCGTGGAGCGATGATCGAGGATCGATCGACGAACGAGGAGCGAGGATCGAGGATCGAGCGAGGGCCCACGATCGATCGAAGATCGACGAGCGAGGGGCCCGAATCGAGGATCGATAGAGGATCGAGGATCGAGGAGCGAAGCGAGGACTGAGGATAGATAAGACGGGCCCGCCCTCGAGGACCTGCAGGCGGTGAGGCAGCTGCCCGAGCGGCACGACGCCTCGGCCCCAGTGAGTGAAAGGAACGGCGGGGGGGAGGGGGAGGAGGAGGAGGAGGAGGAGGAGGAGGAGGAGGAGGAGGAGGAGGAGGGGAGGAGGAGGAGGAGGAGGAGAAGGAGGAGGAGGAGAAGGGGGAGGAGGGGGGGAGGAGGGGAAGAGGAGAAGGAGGAGGAGGGGGGGAGGGGGAGGGGGGGAGGAGAGGGGAGGAGAGGAGGAGGAGGAGGAGGAGGAGGAGGAGGAGGAGGGGAGGGGAGGAGAGGGGGAGGAGGAGGGGGAGGAGGAGAGGAGGGGAGGAGGAGGAGGAGAGAGGAGGAGGAGAGGAGGAGGAGAGGAGGAGAGGAGGGGAGGAGGAGGAGGAGGAGGAGGAGGAGGAGGAGAGGGAGGAGGGAGGGGAGGGGGGGAGGAGGAGGAGGAGGAGGAGAGGAGGAGGAGGAGGAGGGGGAGGAGCAGGAGGAGGAGGAGAAGGGGGAGGAGGAGGGGGAGGAGGGGGGGAAGAGGAGAAGGAGGAGGAGGGGGGGAGGGGGAGGGGGAGGAGGAGAGGTGGAGGAGAGGAGGAGGAGGAGGAGGCGGAGGAGAGGAGGAGGAGGAGGAGGAGGAGACGAGGGGGAGGATGGGGAGGGAGGAGGAGGAGGAGGAGGAGGAGGAGGAGGAGGAGGAGGAGGAGAGGAGGAGGAGAGGAGGAGGAGGAGAGGAGGAGAAGGAGGAGGAGGAGGAGGAGGAGGAGGAGGAGGAGGAGGAGGAGGAGAAGGACGGGGAGGGGGGGAGGAGGAGGAGGAGGAGGAGGAGGAGGAGGAGGAGAGGAGGAGGAGGAGGAGAGGAGGAGGAGGAGGAGGAGGGGGACGAGGATCGAGGATCTGTCGGAGGTGGAGTCTCGAGAAGGGCCCCTCCGCGCGTTGCGCCCGGCCTGCCGGGGGCGCCGCCCAGTGCTGCGCCTGCGACGGCGGAAGGGTGGGGCGAGGATCGGGGGCAACGCTTCGGCGGCGAGCCGAGGGGGGGTGGAGCACAGAATCGAGGGCACGCTTAACTTGGATTCGGGCGGTGTGGATTACAGTGGGGACCCATGCCGAGAAACACCCTGCATGCCTCCAGGGTGCCCCGGGTTTCGATGGTTTGGCGATGGAAAGCGCGATGTCCCCACGCCGAAAATCGCTGGACTCCCTGGGATCTCAGGGGTGGGTTTCTTGTGGGAGGTTTCTTGTGGACTGGCCTCGACTGTACACCCCTGTCGTTGAAAGTTTGCATTTTGTGAGATCCAGATCCCCATATCTACTTTTGGCGCATTCCTGCTTCAAAAGTCTAGCGGTGTTCCCTCTTCCCTCCTCTTCAAGGGGTGGGCGGAAACCCAGTCTACTTCCAACGCCTTCCTACTACATGTTTCCACCCACTTCTGCCGACCGACGGGTAGCGACGGGTCTAGTTTCCATACGAAGTCGGCGCGCGGTGTCGCTAAGCGAGGCGACATCAGCTTCGTGTGTCGGGGCGGGGGCACCGTTTCCCGATCCATGGATATGGCGCCCTCGCGCCACATCCACGGATCCCTAATCAATGTTAGCGTGCGCCCGGTTGAGGGGGCGGGCCTGTTCGGACGGTTCGGAAGGCCTCGGGACTTTCCAAAGGGTAACCTGGCATCCCCCTCGGCCCATCCTTAGCGATTTTCGTTGGCCAGCCTAGTTCGAACAACGTTCACATGGGCCTCCAAGGCCCTTGCATCCTTACGCACATCCTTATAATACGGGTCGACTGTAGCCGCCGCCGCACGGGAGGCGGCAGCGCCGACGTCGCCGATTCCGGTTTCTTTCGGTTGTCGCCGATCGACGTCGTCGTCGTCGTCGTCATGATAAGGTCGTCGTCGTCGTCGGCGGCGGCGGGTACGTCGTCGTCGTCGGCGGGGCCGTCTTGGTTTTCAAGGGGCGTTCTCGTGGCCACGGCTGGATCAGCCTCGGGATTCTGGCCAGGTCGCGCCCAGGACAGGTCGGGGGGGTAGTCGCCGTCGTCGCCGCCCATCGGCGAACGCCGAGTCCCAGACGGAGCGGCTGGAGTACGTCGAGGAGTTCCTCGGATACACCACAGGAGCCTGGGTGGGTGGGAGTTCTTCAGGAGGGAAAAACAGACAGACACACATGGACGCTGATTTCCAGTATGGTCCAGGGAGTATGGACACATCCGGGAAATCGGGGAATGTGTGTCGAGTCACGTGTGTCCCCTCTGGGCCCGTTTAGTTCCCGCCACAGAAAATTACATCGATCGCCCGCCCCCCCACCCCCCGGCGAGGCCGCGCTTGCCGGGCTGCAGGGGGGGTCCGGCCCAGAGAAGAGCGGCCTGGCAGGCAGGCGCACGCTGGGCGCTGGCCAGAAGTGCGGTCGATTGCCGTGTGTTTGGGGTGCTGTTCTAGGCCTCCCAGATTGGGTCGGAGCAGATGGGGTCAGAGGATCGCGCCGCATCGCGGATGCATCGGCGATGCGGCTCGATGTGGAGCACGAATTTCCCCACGCCGACGTCGCCGATGCGTCGCCGACGTCGCCGATTCATCGCTGGTGCATCGCCGGTACACCGGCGATGCGGTGCAATCGTCCGACCCCATCTACTCGGCACCCATCTAGGAGGCCTCTCGTTGTGGTCGTCGTTTGGGGAGGAACTCGTGGTGGCATGAGAAACCCGAGCAGCAGGAAGAGCAACAAGAGCAAGAGCGATGGGAGGGGAAAGAAGAGGAGCAGGATGGTGATGATGATGGTGATGATGATGACGATGACGATGACGATGGCGATGGCGATGACGATGACGATGATGATGATGATAGGCATGATGATGACGACGATGGTGATGATGCTGATAGTGGTGGTGATGCTGGTGATGGTGATGCTGGTGACGGTGATGATGTTGTTGCTGATGATGATGATGCTGATGATGGTGATGATGATGATGATGATGATGATGATGATGATGATGATGATGTTGATGTTGATGGTGGTGGTGGTATTAGTGGTGATGGTGATGATGACGGTGATGATGAGGAGGAGGAGGAGGAGGAGGAGGAGGTGGAAGAAGAGAAGGATAGGGAGGAGGAGGAGACGGAGGAGGAGGAGGAGAAGGAGGAAGAGAAGGAGGAGGAGGACCAACATCAGCAGGATGAAGAAGTAGAAACATGATGATTGGTGTGCAGGAGGAGGAGGAGGACGTCGAGAGGGAGCAGAGGATGAAGCCGAGGAGGAGACGGCGACGACGACGTCCACGATGACGACGCCGGCTACGACGAGGCCGAGGAGGAGGAGGACGAGGAGGCCGAACAGGACGAGGAAGCCGAGGAGGACAGGGAGGGGCAGCAGGAACGGGGGTGGAGGGCCCAGCCGCCACTGAGCTTCGGGAGACCCCCCCCCTGGCGGCGTGCAGCAGGGGCTCGGCCCAGGCGGGGGTCGCAATGAAGAAAACGGGTCCTAAGTTGGAGGGCCAAGTCTACCTTGGGTCTCTTAATAAGCGTGGGGGGTAAGTACTCCCCTGAAGGGGGTCAACCTCACCTCGTCGTCGCCCTGCGACCAGGGTCGGAGCGCCTTCGGCGCGCGGTGGCTGCCCCGCGACGGGGGTCGATGTGGGGCTGTCGGCGGGGGTGACGCCCCCCCGACGCTTATTAAGAAACTCTGAGTATTGTAGTGGCCTCCGGCCAGTGCTGCCGATCTGGGGTGCTACCGATTCTGCTTGCAACGGACGACCTCGTATAATTGTAAAAGTAGAGCACTCGCTCGAGACATCCTCATCAGATAGAGATGTTGAACTCGCTTGGGCTCGCGTGAACAGCCAAACTCATAGGATGTTGACGTAGCTGATGTATGACACCTTTGGGGGCGATCCTGGGCTTCTCGGGGGGCTTTTTGAGGCATCCTGGAGGCTTCTTGGGGGCGCGCTGGAGGAAGTTTTTGATTCTCTCGGGTGCCTTTGGGGGGCCTCCTTGGGGCTTCTTGGACCGTCTTGGGCCCTTCTTGGGCCGTCTTGGAGCCCTCTTCGAGCGTGAATGGCGTCAGCCATGGCGTCGGCCCTCCCCCCCCTCTCCTCTCCCGAGCCTGAATGGCGTCAGCTATGGCGTCAGCCCCCCCCCCCCCCCCGACAGTGTGAAGCTTGAGCGAGCTCCCTCCCCCCTCCCTCCTCCTGGGCCTGAATGGAGGGCCTGAGTGGCGTCAGCCATGGCGTCCCCCCCCCCCTCCCCCCTCCTGGGCCTGAATGGCGTCAGCTATGGCGTCAGCCCCCTCCCCCCCCGACAGAGCGAAGCTTGAGCGAGCTCCCCCCCTCTTCCCCCCTCCCGGGTCTGAATGGCGTCAGCCATGGCGGCGCCCCCCCCCCCCGACTCTCCTCCCGGGCTTGAATCTCCCCCCCCTCCCCTCTCCTGGGCCTGAATGGCGTCAGCTATGGCGTCAGCCCCCCCCCCCGACAGAGCGAGGCTTGAGCGAGCTCCCCGCCCCCCTCCCCCTTCCCGGGCCTGAATGGCGTCAGCCATGGCGTCAGCCCCCCCCCCCCGATAGAGCGAAGCTTGAGCGAGCTCAAGCCAACGCTCTCAGTAACTCACACGCCGGATCGGCGGATTTGATTCTGCAAAGCCAATAATTATCTGAGACCTCTGCGTTCTCATTTTCTAGCCACAAGCGTCTGTGGATACGATGGGCGTCGCTACGGATTTAGACACACTCGGGGTGGATGACCCCATCTATAGACAACGCGGCCGTTGCGTTCGACGCAGTACAAGGTCGGAGAAGAGGTATTTTCGTCTACGGTATGTTGTTGTTCTGGAGAAGGTCCCACATGGTACTCCAAGGTCTCAGGTCAGGAACTTTGGCTTAGCGTGTCGCGCGCTTGATTCTGGCCCACCACGCCTCGGCCCTCGGCGCGACACGCGATCCACTTCCCTGTCCCCAGGCGCCCACGTCCCGAGCAGTTCCCAGCTTCCCGCCCCGCAGAGCGGAGCGACACGCGATCCGCGTGCAAGGCATAGCGTGTCGTCGTGGCCGCCGCCGCGACACGCTCAGCAAAAGCTCCCGACTGCAAGGTTCCCCGGCCGGCTTCGGACTCCCAGGGCCCTCCACTGGCTCTGGGATTGTCGAGAACGGCTCAGGATGAAGAGCGGGGTTTGGGTAGAGGCCCCCGGGGTCCAGGACCAGGTTCCCTCGTCCCAGGGCGGAGGCGATTGCCGTCCGACCGGGGGCTCGACGCCTTGCGAGCGATTTGTGTCACAAAGTTTTCTTAGGACTTGAAGCGTTTCTTGGTAATCGTCGGAGCTTTTCGGAGCCTTGCATGAGGCACTTTCCGTCAGCTGCACCTTATCGACGGCGTTCTGGGGGTGCCCGGGTCGTCTCGAACGGCTGCCGGGACCCCGTGTTGTGACCCGAAAACCAGACGACGAGGACGACCAAGGGGGTCCGCGGATCGGTCGGGCCACGTCGCAGTCGGTTGCGCTCGGTCGGTTCAGTTCGGTCGGTTGTGTCGCTGCTGCTGCGTCGCTGGCGCCCCTCGAGGCTGCTTGCGGCCTGTTGGCTTGGTTTCAGTCGGCTTCAGTTTCGCAGTCGTTTCGGTCGTTTTTCGGTTGTGTTGTCGCCGCGAACGGTCTTGATGAAACCTGGCCCGCTCGTTGTCTTCTTCGCCCCCGTGCCGACATGACACAAAGCAAGCGGGTCATGAGCGGAACGGGTCCTGTGATTTTTGCCGTTTTCGAGTTCATGGCCCCGTCTTCGGCCCAGGGAACGTCAAACAACGACTCAGGATGAGCCGGTTCCAGGGGAAGCCCACGGACCCAGGAATTGTTTATTTCAGGACTTTTTTTCATTTGATTCTGAATGAAGCCTTGCCCGCTCGCGTAGCCGTCAGTGTTGCCCTCGTGGCTCGTATCGTTGTCGTCGTCTTCGTCATCGCCGTCCTCTTCGTGGTGTTGGTCATGGGTCCGTGGTGGTTGCGTGTGTATGAATGCGTGTTTAGCTTTGCATCCGTCGACTGGAGTTCATTTGCACGTCGGAAAAGTGGCAATGTGTGTGTGTGTGTGTCCGTGTGTGTATGTGTCTATGTGTGTATACATGTTCGTGTGTCTGCGTGTGTCTGCGCGTGTGTGCGTGTCTGTGTGCGATTGTGTGTGAGTGTGTGTGTGAACGTGTGCGGATGTGTGTGGATGTGTGTGTGAGTGTGTGTGTGTGAGTGTGTGTGTGTGTGTCTGTGTGTGTGTCTGTGCGTCTGTGTGTCTGTGTTTCTGTGTGTCTGTGTTTCTGTGTGTCTGTGTGTCTGTGTGTCTGTGTGTTAGTGTGTCTGTGTGACTGTGTGACTATGTGTCTGTGTGTCTGTGTGTCTGTGTGTCTGTGTGTTGTGCCTGTTGTGTCTGTCTGCCTGCCTGTCTTGTGAATGTGTGTGTGTTTGTGTGTTTGTGTGTGGATGTGGTGGTGTGGGCGTGGGTGGGCGGGTGTGTTGATGTGTGTAGGGTGCGTGGGCGTGTGGGTGTGTGGGTGTGGGTGAGGATGGGTGGCTGGCTGGGTGGGTGTGCGTGTGAGAGCACGTGCGCGCGTGCATGTGCGCGTGCGTGGTCCCCGCAGGAAAGCACGCCGAGCAGCTGGCGGTCCACCGCGCCAGGCTCGCAGAGGCGGCCGCCCCGCCCCCTGCGCGCACCCTGCGCGCGCCCTGCACGCCCCTTCCCCCCCACTCTCGTCTCCTGCTTCCTCCTCCTCCTCCTCCTCCTCCTCCTCCTCCTCCTCCCTCCTCCCTCCTCCTCCCTCCTCATCCTCCTCATCCTCCTCCTCCTTCCCTGAGTCCGTCTTTCCTTCCTTTCGTCCTCCCTTTCCTCCTCTTCCTCCTCCTTCTCCTCCTCCCTCAGCCTCCTTCCTTCATTCCGTCTTTCCTTCCTTTTTTCCTCCTCCTTCTCTTCCTCCTGCTCCTCCTCCTCCTCCTCCTTTTCCTTTTCCGTATAACTATATTTAACTCGTCCCTTACCTTCCCCGAAACGTGCCAGAGCGGGCCAGCCGCTTCGCCTGACAATTCCTTTGCTTTTCTGATTCGGAAGCGTAAAATGGCAACGGCTTCATGGATGGAGGGCGGTTCCTTTTCAAAATGGAGTTCTCGCACAGCGCCGCTCGCATTCTTCAAAGATTGCAAGGGCTTCGCGAATGGAGGGCGTGTCCTTTTCAGAATGTGGTTCTCGCCACAGCGCCGCGTACACTCCTCTCAACATTGTGCAAGAGGATCACGAAGTCAAGGCGAGTCGGTTTCAACATGTGTTTTTCGCCTTCGTGCCGCTGCGAAAGCTTCACGGATGGAGGGCGGTTCCTTTTCAATGTGTGGTTCTCGTTGTAGCGCCGCGCGCAATCGTCGTGAAAGTTTGCTAGAGCTTCGCGAATGGAGGGCGTGGAGCCTGAAGCGGAACGCCCTCCATTCACGAAGCAAGGGCGTGGAGCTTGAAGCGGAGCCGAGCAAGGCCAGCGAGGAGCCTGAAGCGGACGAGGCAGAAGAGCCTGAAGGAAACCCAGCTGCAGGGGAGGGTCACAACACCGGGACTGCTGATGATGAAACGTCCAGCGCCACAGACGATAGACCCCCGCTGCCGAGGAGGCGAGATCCGCCACACGGGATTCCACCAAAAGGGTACGTGCGAGGCAGGTAACAGAGCGGCATACGAGAACAACGAGACGCTCCCATTCAGCACACCGCTGATGACAGGACTGGTCCCTCGCGCGGACACAGGGACCAGTGGAGTTACGACGGGTCCTCAGACCGCCGGACCACGCAGTCTCGTGACGACGCCTGGCGTAACCAGAACGAGCGCACGGGAAATGACGGGATATTCAATCATGGCGAATGGGTACCCTTCTCCAAGAACCCACTGACCATCCACGAGCCCAAAAGAAGAACGACGGGTCCAATATGTACAAGGCACCACTGCGCACGATCGACGCACAATACCCCGGGGAGGCCGACAGCGCCTTCGTCTCCAGGATGCAGAGGGAACTAGGCAGCATGTTCAGCGACATGAGGTTTGCACACTGTACCAAAACCTGCCCCACGAATGCCCAGCCGACTTTCGACCCAGCATTGCAGCCGCCAGGCGCGTGCCGAAATTTAATCCACGCGTGGAGCACTGCAGGCTACGGCGTGTGCCGCGCCGACCAGATGGAGCTTCCTGTGGGGCCACGAATCGCTGTACTGGGTGGGTGAAAATGTTAGGTGTTGCGGACGCATGTGGCCACCCCCCACTGGGGCCTTAGATGGAGCTCCCTGGGGGGCCACTAAACGCCATACTGGGCGTGGCGGACGCATGTGGTACCCCCCCCCCATGGGGCCTTAGGTGGAGCTCCTTATGGGGCCACGAAACGCCGTACTGGGTGTGGCGGACTCATGTGGTACCCCCCCCCCCCTGTGGGGCCTTAGGTGGAGCTCCCTATGGGGCCACTAAACGCCATACTGGGCGTAGCGGACGCATGTGGTACCCCCCCCCCCGTGGGGCCTTGGGTGGAGCTCTGTATGGGGCCACGAAACGCCGTACTGGGTGTGGCGGACTCATGTGGTACCCCGCCCCCGTGGGACCTTAGGTGGAGCTCCCTATGGGGCCACGAAGCGCCGTACTGGGTGGGTGAAACGCATGGAGGCGGGAGGAGAGGGATGAGGGAGGATGAGGAGGAGGAAGAGGAGGAGGAGGAGGAGTGAGTGAGTGGGTGGGTGGGTGAGTGAGTGAGTGAGTGAGTGAGTGAGTGAGTGAGTGAGTGAGTGGGTGGGACGCGGGGCGCTGTCTCTTCAAAACGAGGACCCAACACCACAGGACGGTTGAGAAAATTAGCCTGGCGATGGACCCGGCCATATGCAGTTGAGAGTACTGCAGCTGTGAATGCAGTCATCCGTGGAACTTTGTATGGGGCCACGGAGCGTGTGACGGGTGCACCGAAATTGGTGTCGCGGACACATGTGGACACCGCCGTTGGGGCCTTCGGTGGAGCTCCCTATGGGGCCACGAAACGCGTGAGGGGTACTGCTGATCTCAGGGCCCCGGGGAGGCCCCTGGCGTGTATGTTACTGTCGTGCACGTGCGTGTTGATGCTGCAGCATTTTGGCTTGCCACAGGTGTGGAAAAGAGGGAGCGGGCGCTCCCTCCTCGGAGCCCAATCTGCATTGGTAGCGGAGCGTGCCGCGCGATAGCAGGCGCTGTCGCACCGGGGGGCACTCAGGCGAGTGCCAGCGGGACGCCAGAAGAAGGTGATGAACACGGACAACGGGGGACCCGGCGGCGCGATCAGGAGGTTCGCCGGGAATGGAGCTGATGCCTTTCGGGAATATCGATCCTGGAAGAAGTGGGCGCGGGCGTACCTCATCGTGCAGAAGGCGAAGGGGACGCCTGCGACGGCCTTAGGGCCAACGCTGTTCACGCTGCTGGACGACGTCGCCGCCAGGGCGCTGGAGGTGGTCGACATGGACGACCTAGAACAAGACGGCGGCGAGCAGCTCATTTTCGAGACTCTTGACTCACGCTTCCCCGACGTGGCAGCCCACGATCGTCTCGGAGAAGCGCTGAAAGAGGTATTCACGATTCGCCTGGCCAAGGGCGAGTCGATGGCGGCCTACTGCGGTCGAGCTCAGGCGGCGTTCGCCAAGGGCGAGACCGAGGGCGTGGTGCTGCCGGACATGGCGCGTGGGTACCTCCTGCTGCTGGGCGTGCACCTGGCGCCGCAGAACCTCGCGGTCGTCCTGGCAGCATCGAGCCGATCATACAAGGAAAAGGACGTGGCGATGGCGCTCAGGACGACGTACCCCAACGGCTTGGCGGACTTTGGCCAGCAGTCAAGGGCGTTCGGGGCGCACGTGGCAAAAGAAGAAGTCGACGAGAGTGACGACGTCTCGGATATCACGGCGCTGCTGGCGGGCTTCGACATGAGTGAGGAGACCGAGGACGGGGACATCCTGGACGAGAGTGAGGCCATCGAGATACTTGTGTCCTGGCGCGACCAGCGCAACAAGATCACGAAGGAGCAGCTGGCTCGGGGCTTCGGTCCGAAGAAGCCGGACACCAAGGCGATGGCGAAGCGAGTGCGATGCTACAATTGTGACGAGGTCGGCCACTTCAGCAGAGACTGCAAGAAGCCGCGTCGACAACGCCGCCCTCCCCCTCGGGACCACAAGCAAAAGGGCAAAGACGGCGAGAAGCGCAGCGATGTGGTCACGGTCTACGAGAGTGACACGGACGAAGACGTCTTCGTGGCCGGCGACGGCAGGACCGGGGACATCGTCGAGGAGGAGACCTTCGAGTGCGACGTGTGCGACGACGAGATCCGGCGGCCCTTGAGTGCCGGCGGCTGCAGCGACGACGACGAGTGCGACTGCGAGCTGACGGCCGACGAGGAGGACGAGGATCAGGACATAGACGATCTGTACGAGGCGTACACGGCGGCGAGGGATGACATGGACGACGTGATCGAGGCATACCACAGGCTGACCACGATGCACAAGGACGAGGAGATGCCAGAGGTGCTGACGGCATCGGCTCACGAGCCGGGGTCGGGCGTGGTCGACACTGGGTGCGGCAAGGGAGTCATCGGCGAGAAGACCCTCAAGGAGCACAAGATGGAGATGGAGAAAGCAGGTCTCGCGGTGAAAACGATCAAGCAGACGAAAGCGACGACCTTCCGCTTCGGCAACCAGGAGACACTGGAGTCAATCTACACCGCGGAGATCCAGTGCCGAGTGGGCGGTCGACTCCTGGTGCTCCGCCTGTGCGTCGTCCCAGGCGAGACCCCGCTGCTGGTCAGCAAGCCCATGCTCAAGGCCCTCGGCGCGCAGCTGGACATGGAGCGGGATGAGATTCGGTTCGCCCGGATCAACGTCACGGTACCGCTCCGGGTCGCGGCCAGCGGCCACTACCAGCTGAACCTATGCGAGAGGAAGAACGAGGACGGCAGGAGGATCCAGACGGCTGAGGTCGACGTGATGGTGACGGCGGAGCAGGACGACGGGCGGACTGCGGAGGAGAAGCAGGAGCACGAGGAGTTCGTCGCGACGGCGTCGTCGGGTTTTCGCTAGGGCCGAGCCGGAGCCCAGAGGCTGACGGTGACTGGGACGACACCGACGTCCTGTGGTCAGAAGGCGTCACCGACATCATGAGTCGGCGGGCCAAGCGGTCGGTGATCAGGGGTGTTCTCGAGGCGCAGGCCCGGCTGGGCCGCCAACCGAAGTGCCTGGAGATCTTTTCGGTGCCACGAGTGACCCCCGCCCTGGAGTCCATGGGGTTCAAGAGCCTCGGCGCGTTCGACCTGCAGAACGGCTGGGATGCCCGCCGAGCGGCGGACCGCCACAAGATCCTACACGTGGTCGACGTCGAGGAGCCGGAGTTTGTGGGCATGAGCCCTCCATGCGGTCCCCTTTCGATCCTGCAGAACCTGACGATGGCGGAAGTGCGTCGAGATCCGGAGAAGTACCGCCAGGCAGTGAAGGAGGCGGTCGGGCACCTGAGGTTCTGTGTGGTGGTGGCTCGGATGCAGATCCGAGGAGGTCGATACTTCACGCTCGAGGCACCGCCGACGGCGAGATCCTGGGACTGCGCGTCGGTTCTGGGCCTGTGTCGGGTGGCGGGAGTACACCGGGTGTCGGTCAACGGGTGCCAGGTGG